TTTCTACTAATATCTACAAAAATGAAAATTCAATTTATAAAGGATCACATGATTGACATGCCAAACGTTTAGCATCAGTACAATAAAGAGAAAATCTGACATAGTAATTGAGCAGCACTACGAATTCCATTATATCCTAAAGCACATGTTTCTGATCATGACAGCAAACAAAAGAAAAATTCACCCCTATCGTTAGACTAATTAGTTTTCAATTTTTTTAATTATTTTTTCTTCTAGATTTTCATCAAATTTCCTAAGTATTTTTTGTTTAAAGTTTATTTGATTAATTCATTAAGAGGCATAAAGTGCATGTTATGATATCTAAAGTTTCATTAATTAATTTTCTCATTTTTTTTTCTTTTGAAATTCTCTACAGGCAGACTTGTCATAAAAAGCTTTTAGAGTGAAATGTGTTGTGTGTGTGTCTTTCAGGGTCGTTCATTAATGACGTCAAGCATTTAAGAATCTATGCAAATTGAGAACCTTTTTGTAGTTTTATAAGCTTTTGAGGTAATTCATAAATGATGTCTTTTGACCCAGTGGTTCTCAACCTTTGAAGGGGGTGTGTTATGTAGCATAGCATAGCTTTTTGCAAGACTTAAATATAAAATGCAAAAGATTTTATTAAGTAAAGCAGAGCCACAGCCCCAAAAAATGCTAGGCGTCACTTTTGAAAGAACCCTTTTTGACGAAATAAAACAGGAAAAATCTCATCAATTTTTCAATGAATTATTTTCATAATTTTAAGGAAAGAGTAAAAGCTATTTGATTAAAAAATTATAAGGAAGTTATAACGCTGCTGAATCTACTTCCGACTGCATTTATAATTTCCTTAGAAGATGTAAAAGCTCGAAAAAATTTTAATTTACATTATTTAGAGGCTTCATGTTCCTTTAAAGATATATATATTTTTTTAAATTCCTATTAAAGTCGAAAAAAGTTTTGCTGCTTGAAAAAAAAAATCTTATCGTTTTTCATGATATTTATTTATGTATAATATAAATTATGTGAAAAATTTTGGTGTTCTTGATAGAAGTTGAATTTAATTTATTTAATTTCTTATTTTAAGTTTATTTTAGAAAGTGAATGTTGAGAGAAAGATACTCGATAAAAAGACTGAGAGAATAAGATGCATAAGAAAGATGAGGAGATGCAATTGGTAAGAAGAATAATTGAACCCCTGAGAAAAATTAAAAATTATTACCAATTTAACTACATTTAAAATTTCGTTCTACTTTTGGAGATTCCTCTTTGCCAGATTTCTTTTGGCTATAATTTTATAATTGTTTAATAACTTTGAATTCTAGATTTCTTTAAATAGGACGTAGTTTATTTTAGTACTAGATTTTAATTAATTTTTACGTATCCTAGTTTTTTTTGCCGATCTAATAATCTAGTACTAGAATATTTTGCTAGAATCTAGGCCTAATTTTTCTCATTTACAACTTTCATTTGTAGTACTAGATTTTAATCAAAAGTGCAACTTTGAAATTTTAGAGCTATGTTTTTAAGGCTAAGAATTGCAGTTTGTTATAATTTTATATTCCTAGATTTTTAATTGATTTTCTAGAATGTGGTACTAGATTTTCAAATTGAAGTTCATTATGAAATATTTTAATTTTAAATGTAGTATTTTTTAGATGTTTGAAAAGTTAAGTACTAGATTTTGATTATTAGGAAAAAATCAAAACCAAGTTAAGTACATTTTTTAAGTTCTACATTTTGAAATACTAGAATAATTAATTTCAAAATTGTCTAAAATCCAAAAGAAATCTGACAAAAAATCTCTCCAAATATCTTCTTCTAAAAAGAACCTTTGAGCTTTAAGTTCACATTTTTAAATTTCAATTTGTAAAATTTCAATTGTTTTTTTTTGTTTTAAAAAAAACAACATTTTATTTAACAAATTTATTTTTTTCATTCTTTCTAGCTAAATTAATCACAATGTTCATATTTTATTCATTATTAATTTTTGTTAATTTTTCATGTGTGTTTATGTTTTTGATGTGTATTTAGGGATTAAATCCAGAAAAATGTTTAAAATTTAATCAAAATATGGCTTCATCCAATAAATAATTGATTTTATAGCTCTATAAATTTTCATATTAATTTAAGTTTAATTAATTAATTTATAGTTATAACATTCTAATTGTCCTTTTCAATAATAATTTAATAATTTTGAAAGTCATTTATTAATTCATTTATTTTCAATTATTTTTTTGGATATAAAACTTCTATTCATAGCATGCCTAATAGAACTAAATTAGCCGTAGAAAATTCATAGACTTGATTCACACAAATTTTATGACGTGTTCTGATTCCTTTTTGTATGTTATTTTTGAACTAAAATTGACCAATTAGCTAATTATGATTTTTGTACTAATTTATTTTTGGACGTTGCTCAAAATGTTGCTTTTAAAGCCTTCTTATGAAGTTTTAAGTATGTCAACAAAATCCAAGTACCTTTTTTGGGGGTTTTTCAATTGAACAAATTAACAAAAAGGAAAAATGCTTCCTTTCATTTAATTTATTTTTCTGCCTTTTAAGATTCTCACAGCAAAGCTACAAATGTCATTTAAGATGAGCATCATGTCAAGTCAAAATAATAATTCTGTGTTGAAGAATTAAGACATTGTTGGACATTAGAAACTTTCTCGATTCCAAATTGTGTTGAGCTTTAAATAATTAATATTTTATGTCAAGCTTGTCAAACTTATAAGTTTGGAACTCGACTTACAGAATTTATGAAGAATCAAATCTCTTATCATTAAGGCCACAGTCTTTCTCATTTTATCACACAATATAACAAGTTTTCTCTGACCAAATCTAGAGAATTGAGGAAAAATTCATGTGAATCATTTTCAAGGCACCGCCCTTAAAAAAACTTCAATTATCCTTACAATAAATAGTTTCACAGTTGTTATTATCATCATCATCAGTTTTGATAATAAAAAGCATTTGGAATCAAGATTCATTGAATAAACTGTTTGACCTATATAGGCACAACTTTTAAGTGTGTCCAATTCATACAAAGTTCTTCTAAAGTTTTGTAACAAAATCTCTAGACAGTCACCAAAACTTCAATAAAAAGAAAGTTTCAATAGGACAGCTTAAATTGTATAAATGCCATAAAAATGAACTTGTACAAATGTCTTAATTCTTTCAACTACTGAAATGTTCATCCATTTAAAAAAAAACAACAACTTGTGTCTTTAGTGATAAAATAATAAATGTACAAAAATCTCAACGAGAGCAACATCAAGTTACAACGAACTTTATCATTTCATCAGTATGTATTCTCGAGATGATGAAGAAATATTAAATTTGTTTCTGTGAATGCATACAAAATAGAGACGAAGGAAGGAATAGAAAGAGAAGTGGACAACATTAAATGTAATGCATGCTAAATACCTTAATTTATTGAAGGCAGATTCTTTCTTGTAAAATTTTTCTTTGTTTTTTTTTTTATTATTTTATAAATAATTTCTTGTCTTATTTTTTATTTTTAAAAGATTTAACATTTCACAATTTTTTTTAAAGATTTTTTATTTTTTTGTTTGTGCAGTAGTTTTAAATGTCATAAAATGTAATAGTACCAAGAGCGAGAAATAGATTAAAACAATTAAATGGTAGGTAAAAAAGTAGAATTTTGTCATTTTTTCAATTTTTAATTGAATAATTCTTTTTAACGAACAACATGCAACCGTCTAAAAATGAATTTTTTTTCTCATTATTATAAAAGCTTTTCATATCTAAAATTTTATTATGTTTTTTTTTTGTTAAAAAATATTACAACAATAAGTTTCACAATTTCCTGCATTCTAAAAATCGTTTTTAAGAAGAATTGTCATGAAAATGAAGAGCTTGAAAAGGAAATTTTTAGATTTAAGTACAAATTGATTTTTTTTTATGTGAAAAAAGTGGATTGAAGGTTTTATATTGAACTTTAATTTTGGAATTTTTGAAATGATTCTTTCGATTTTTAATCAAGATTTTTGACTAATTCGATTCGATTTCAAATTAAGTTTAATCTTCTGATACTCAAGATTGACCAATTTTAACTAAGAATTAATCAATAGCTGAAAATGCACTCATTTCAGATCAAATCTCAATTCTTTAAAATTCCAAAAATAAATCTCAATAATTAAACTTTCAATCCTAATTAGAATATAGGAAGAAACTTGTAATGTGTATATGTTTTGGGAGGTCTTTCATGTATAAATAGTCAGCTCGATTAAATAAAGGAAATTTCAACATTTTTCATATGTCCATTCCATTTGTTATGTTTCAAAAAAATTCATTCCATTATAATTTATGAGTCACGTCAATTATATCACGAAAATGTATGCCATATCAACATAAACGACAATTTTCATTGCCTTATTTATTAGTCGCTGCGATTCTATATTCCCCTGTAATCTCATCAAAAATATGTTTTTTTAATAATAAATAAAGTGGACTGATCGGTCGATATGATGTCATTCATTTGTGTGTAATTAATTTTGAGTAAATTGCTGTGTTTTTCATTAATCCATAATTTCGTGTTTAAATTTAAATTAATGACTGCTCGAACTTCTGTTTTAGTTTTTGTTGAAAAATTTAATTTTCAAGTTATCGATTTTTTTTCCACATGAATTCTCATTAATTAATTACAGATTTAACTGAGTCTAATATTCAATTATTAAAATGTTCAGATTCAATAAATTTTGAAATTTTTTAAAATTCTTATTCAAAATGTTAATAAATTGTTTTTATTAAGCATCTAATAGTGAAATCTAAAAGAAGTTAAACAAAAGAATTATCCCAAAAACTATTATTGAAAAAAAAAAGATTTATAATTTGATCTGAAAGTTTTTCAAGATTCAACAAATGGAAATTTCAACCCTAATCAAATAACAATAAATTCGATTTATTTAAAGCACAAACTTGATTGTGTTGAAATTCGAATAGCAAAGCAGCAGCAGCAAAAAGTCTATAAATTGAACAAAAAGAAGTTTTATGCTTATAGCAATTCCATGTATCTACCAAAGTTTTTTAAACCCGCTTAATGGATTAGAATTGCTCCGCAAAATATATTCATGAACTGTCTATTTATTACGACAGAAGAATAATCCGTATCATTTGCAATTAGCAGAGACATTGAAGCCAAAATTGACCATAAGAGCTTTCTCGACTGTCATTAAAGTGCTTCCATTTTAAATTGGTTGTAATCTCGTCTGTCAGAATTTAATTTTGATGTAATTGAGAATCACACAAGGATTTATCACTGTGGTATATCCATAATGTGTATGTAAATCCATCTTCTTTACAACTCAAATGACATTAAAAGAAAACTTTATTTATAATCCATTAAATAAAGGATGGATGAAAAATTATGTCTATGATAACCATTGTTATTTCCGCAGGACCATAAAAAAATATTTCACACAGTATTATTATTTTATGTTGAATATTATTTATATGGATCATAATCGTTGGATAAATCATAAAAAAAAATGAAGGAGCGACACGGATGAATGGCAATGATGACGTATGATTGTAATGTATAAAAAAGTTTATTTTATTATATTTTATTCTTCTTACTTCATACGACAACAAACTGTGTAATTCTTTCAAAAGTGTATCATTTCCGTATTAAGTCTTGTCAACTCAGGGGAAATAAGAGTTTTTGTGTTAAAATGTCAAGGTTGTGAGAAGTTCTTTTTTTATCAGAAAAAAGTTCAACTGATTTTTTTACGAAAAAGGTTTCGTTCAAATTTTGAACTTTGAAATTTTTGAATTTAGTAAAGTCGTTAATTATTCAAAAATTAAAAAACCGTTGGTATTTTTTTAAAAAAAATTCTAATGAAAATAAAATTTCTCCCACAAATCATCCCTGATCTTGTTCTTAATTGAAACCCAAATCGAGCGACTGCGAAAGTAAAGTCTGAATTGAAAATGTTTATAACTATTGGTAATCTATTTTTAAGTAACAACAAATTGACACATTATATGACTATAACTACAATTAAAGTAGAAAAACACAAGAAAAATGCAATTGGTTTCAGATTATTACACGGTTAACAAATTAATTTTTTCCTTCTCATTTAACATAAATAATTGAGACACGACTAAGAAATATCTAAATAAAAAAAAATCTCGTAATGTTCGTAAATTGTTGTCTGTGGCAATAACTTTTCTTCTTATCGTTCCTGATTGAGTCAAAAAAATGAACTGTTCGTCATTAAATGCTTTGATTTTTTTTTGTGCTATTGAGATTAAGTTTTCTTCTTTAAATTTTCCTATATTCGATGTATTCATATATGATTGTTACGGTTATGCTTGTATGTGTGGTATGTATACGTGTGTGTATATATAGTAAGTATGTTGAGTGCATAATCCTTTCTTTTTTTTGGAGAAACAAAAATGATTATCAAGAAATTGTTTTTGTCTACATTACGAATGAATTAAGAACGAGGAGGAGAAGAATAAGGTGGCAAAGGAAGAGATGATAATGAACCTTTTCATTTAAGTCTTTTGCTAGCTGATTCCAAAATGGTTTTTAATTTCTCTAAGCTGCGATTCTTCTTCCCCAAAAGCTGACTATCAGCAAAAATCGCTTTTAATCTGTTCGATTGAGCAATTTCACTTGCACTGTAGTTTGGTAGCTTTGGTGGTGGAGCTGGAAGATCTTTATACAATGGATCCTTCAACCTCCTCAAATCGAACTCAATTTCGGCAATTTCGCGTTTGATATCATTATATTGTTCTAAATCTAATCCATTCTTCTTGGCTGCCTTGTGAAGTGAAATTAAGTGTTGTCGATCTTTAACATCAGGCAAAATGTATTCCTACAAGTTCAGGAGAAATAATGAATGAACAAAAAAAAAAGAAGGAATTGTAAGTGAATGCTTTCATTATTTTAATGACAGATAGGGGTTGCAAAAGTGGTTTCAAGGCTTGAGATTAATCTCTGATTGAGCAATTTTTGTGCCTTATTTCAGCAGTTTAACGCACATTTTGTTATCGTCTCAATCTCAAAGCTCTCACAAGAAGAACATCCAATTAAGATTAAAACTCAAGATTATATCAGCTCCGTTCTACCTTAAACCAATCTATATATCCAACCCTGATCAGTCAACAACAATGTAATGTGTTTAAATGTGTTCATGAGAATATAATCACCTGTTTAGTGAGCACAAAGTACGCATAGGCTGCCATAGCTGTGCCATAAGTAACAAAATAAGTAACAGGTTCCATAATCTATTTGCATATTAATGAAATAGAGAAATAGAAAAAGTGAGCATGAATAATGAGGCTAATAGCATGCATAATATAATAATATTGCTGAAGGATTAAAAACTTACATCCCAACTATATTCAAACCACGTCAGACGTGCTAATACACCAAATTGTACAGACATCAAGCCTAATCCAACCCATGAGAGCATGTTTGCTTTCCTACCAGCCTTTAGGTCCAATTCAAAACGTTTCTGTATGAAAGATTTATCATGTAGAATTTTCAATATAATAAACATTCATGGCACAACATACAAGCGTATGCAGGAGAAAGAAAGGAACAAAAGGAAATTTTGTTTATTAATTATACCCAAAATATTATTCAATGGAGACTTGTATGTTTAACATGGATATAACAAAATTAAAAAATCGATCCATAATAGCCTTGTGCTATATGCTTGAAAATATTGCCACTTACCTTTTCTAGTGGTCCTAATCTTGTATTTAAATGCTCTAATTTCTCATGAAGGTCTCTCTCCTTACGAATTTGGTGTTCGCTGACATGAAGAGCCTCATAAAGCTATAAAAAAAAGTTTTTTTTTTTTTGTAAAAATTGAGTTGGAAGCGTAAATTGAGTTAGGAAAAGAAATTGCTCGTTCAATCTTAATGTCAAGGATGGAATTTTCTCTTTTCTGTTATTTGCAGCTGGAAAAAAAAATCTTATTAAGTTCTCTTTTAGAGTGCATTGTTAGCAAATTCCTTTTTTCTCTTCATTTCTTCTTTCTGTGATATAAATCGTTCTTATTTAAATACTCAAGATTCTTTCGATTCTGTGTTCATGATATCATTAAAAGTTTCCATCTTGGATCAATTTTTGCTGCCTTTTTGGATAAGGATCGAATGTATCTAGTATATTTTGACTGGAAAGCTAATGATGCATGGCTTATCATAAGTTTTTGACATCTTAAGCAAAAATTCAGGAATTGAGTCAGATTAAGAATGAACTAGATTGCATAAGCCTTGTTAGGTGTAAACAGCTTATCAAGTAGCAAGTTGCTGTTCTGATAGAGTTTTTTAAGTTTCCTTTTTTAAACCGTCGTGTTTGGGACTTTAAAGCCTAATCTTCAATGAACGACTGTTTTTTAAATCATCGTGTAATTTTGACGTCATAAGTCAACGACCTCTGAACAGTGTGTAGAGAAAATCTTATTTTCACTGAGGTAAGCTCTCGAAAAATGGAAATGCTTCTTCATTTCAAAGCTGGAGCTTAACCTGATAACATTCGATACATTCAACTTCCAAACGATTTTTGTCTTTATATTATTCAGAAGATTTCATGCTTCTTTGATGTAGCTTATTATTTATTGATCAATGGAATATTCTTAGTCATAAAATAGACAACTTTTAACCAATTCCACCATTTATTTATCACATGTATTTGGCGCGTAAACACTGTAATAATGAAATATTGTAAAAGTTTTACTTTATTTTCTCACACACATACGATGTTTTGAAAGAAGCTTTACAACTCGCGTCTCAAAGGGATTAAATGTAATCAATCTTAATAAAGCCGAGGTGTGAATTTATTTTCTTCAGAGTTTTGCTGAATTTATTTTAAGGTTTCTTATTCTTTTGAGATTTGCCAAATCTACAGAGAAGCAGAAGCATCATAGAAGATTTAAGAAGGTGAGATAATTTGAATTTTACAGAACTGGGTGCCGGAGGTGTATTACTGTTTACTGAGAATTTTTTCCATAATAATGACAGGAATGTTAGCTTAAATTGATCTGATTATTTTTATTTTAGGAAGTAGTGCTGTTTATTGGCTGTTTATTTTTTCTCATTAGAGTCTTAAACAGTTGTTCAAAGGGAAGTTGGGCTTAAATTATCAAAGAAGCAATGCTAATATTCTTCATTTTTTTTAAAAATCTATCCGAAAGAGCAGTGAGAGGAAGCAGAGGGGTGAGGGGTTAGAGGAGGAGAGAATGACAGATGAGTCAAAAAATCCCATTTTCCCAAGGTCGTCAAAAGTAGAGTCATTTTTATTTTAAGAAACTGGTCGGAATAACCCTTAAATGACAGTTTTAACAATTTTAAGGATATATCCCTAAACACATCTTTAACATTTCTGAAAATAACACAGTACGGCAGAATTTAAACATTCAAAAATATTCAATTTGTCGTTTCTTTGCGATTTAGAATCAGAATTGCTAATTTGTTATCACAATATATTACAAGAACCTGTTCTGCCACTTTATTCAAACCATTTAAGATTTAACATAACTGAACATTTTACTTCAATTTTTGATGCAGAGTTGGTAGTATTATGGAACATGGGTCTTTTCAGGAACATCGTAGATAATAAAAATTTCTGTGAGGCTTCTGTGATTGCACGCAGAAGTCGATTGAAACCCAAGTTCTGTATCATATCAATTCAAACACATAAAACATTTTCAAGCATAATTAATTACGAACATATGCAAAACCTTGAAATGACTGCACGCCCATGATTGAGCACAGCTCGAAAAATAATATTAACAGCTGTCTTCTGCTCATCAACTTTACGAAAAAAAAAAAAATCAAGCAACAAGAAGACTCTGAATTATTTTAAACATTTGGTAGTAAACAAAGGTGTAGAAGTCTGCCAATATTCATGTGATTAGATAAATTGCGTTGTTACGCAAATATAGATACAGACCTAAACATCTATAAATAAATTCTTGTCTGAAATTAGCAAAACTTATCTAATCAAAGACATTTCAAGTATTAGATTGTGAAGAAGAAATAATCAAGTTATGTGTCAAGCTATGCCTGTGTCATTCCAGACAAGTTTATGCTTTTTGAGTGACACTCATCCTATGTAGTATTTCCAAAGATCTATTTATTATGTTCCATTTGTGTATTTGTAAAACATTAGAACAAAACAAAATGAAATGAAATAAGCAGTTCAGGCATAAGAAAATTTTCTCAATCCCTCTTGAATGATAAATCACTTCATATTTTTCATCATTTCAGTCTCGTCTTTTATGCAAAAACATTGCCAATCACAGTAAATTTTATTCATCTGTTCTTTTTATAGGTATCATTTCTTATTCCTTTTCCTATCTGTTTTTGTGGTAATTTTTCCAACAAAAAAAGAGCTTTAAACGAAAATAAAAAGCAGTTGAAATATGAAAGTGTAAAGTGTCTTTATGAGTAGGACCAATTATTCATTTGCCTCGTGAGTTGATAACAGTAGAAACATTGAAAATTTATACAATAAAAAAATCCTGTTGCTCGACAACACTGATATTTTTATTCACTTGACAATGTACAGACGGGAAGGAATGCAAAAAGTCAAATGTAATAAAAGCTCTATGGAAGAAAAACGAAGCTTTCCTGCGTTGCGAATAAAATTTACATCGTTGACATTGTCGAGATAAAAAAAGTGGTTCTTTCGGCTATGATGCGAAAGTAAGTATGGTAGTTTGGGTAGAAAATGTAGCTATTCAACAAATTTGTTGCCGATGTCATGCTTTGCGTAAATATAGACATAAGAAATAACATCCATTACGATGTTTATTCTTATCAAAATCGATAAAAAAAAATGTGCGGATCCACCCTATTTCTCGTGAATGGAATTTTCAAAGCTTCTTCATTTCACATACAGAATCTAAAATCTGTGCCATAAATCATTTATCATCCACTTAATGTAATTTGACATCCGTATAGACAACATATTATAGTTTTCAATGGGATGCTTTAGAAAGTTCAAATAAAGAGTGTTAATTAATAACAAAAGCGCATTTATATGCCTGTCATGAAGGTAAATTCGATATTACACAGTCATTCGTGCTTAGTGAGCAATCAAGGTTAAAAAAAAATCGTAAAAGATTCATGAAATTAAAAGCTTGCGTATTATTGGATATAATAAATTATTTGTCATGGATTGAATAATTTAATCATAAAAATGAATAATAAAAGATTGTTTTCGTACATAAGCTTCACGACTTCTGACTTATTTGTACATAATTTTGTACTAAATTGTATCCTATGGCAACAAAGTCGATATCAGTGTTGATATTCAGTTAGAAAGGACTTTTAATAAAATTGAGATTGGTTTACAAGCTACAATTAAGTCATTTGACTTGACCATTATATTTTTTTCGTGTATTACATGATTAATACTAGTTAACAACACTGATTCAAATCTAATCGAAATGAAAATAAACATGGGGAAAATTATGAGAGATCAATTCCAAATGCAAACGTCAATTAAGAAGATATAAGCTTTTCTTCGTTTGAGAAGACATTAAAGGAGAAGCGAAGAAGAGGAATTGAGAACAGAAAACAAATAGCGTAAATACGGAAAACAGAAAATCTCCTTGACTTTGGTTGCTATAAATTTTCGCATCATTAACGACGTATATACTTATTATATTGACATAAATGTTTATTATAAATAAATCGATCCACTTACTTGTGACACTAAAGATCTCACATCGCCCAACTTATTAATTTCTTCAGAGGAAATTTTTTCCCGCTCCGGTGGCTCAACATAGTAATGCTTATCATTTAAATGTAACCTAAATTTTTACGAGGAAGATAATCCAAAAAAAAAAAGAAATGGGAATAAAATTACATCACGTCCTTTTAAAAAATTAATTTTTCATATCTTACCAAAAGCTTTCATCCATGAGACTTTCAATAGAGCACGATGATGCTATTCGAACGTTATTTCTATTTAAAATTGCCGCTCGATCAATGCCTCTATCTTCTGACTTTAACATTTCTAGAAAATCGCCTACATTATGGGATACAGGACGAAGCACAAATTGGCACTTTTCATTGCGACTAGGCAGTGGACATACCACATTAGGCAAACCTCTCACATAGGTGACAGTCACTTCTGCAATGATATAAAAATAAAGAAGGAAAAAAAATGTCATTAAATTGATATTAAGGTAGGTAGGTAGGAAGGATATTAAAATGTCGAGAAAAAAAAACAACAAAATGGAAATAAAATGAACATTTTCACAGTGTTTTGAGGCGGAGCAGTTTTATCATCCAAAATAGCAACATTTTTGTTTCATTCACGATAAAGTTTTGATGAATGATTTATAGATGTACTCATTTATTCAACACTAGAACAGCTTAAACTTAGACTTGCTGTCTACCGTCTTTGAGCAAAAAAAAAAACCATCGAGAACGACCAAGTTTATGAAAATGAATTTTGCATAAAGAAATTTTCCCAATATTTATAGCAAATGGATTGAATAAGTTCAACACTCGATATTGCATTCATTGCTGATAAAATTCAATTACAGAAGATTCAATTAAATTTGAATTTTTTAAAAAATAAATTTCCCTCTAGCTTACAATGAATACCGAAAATAGTCTGAAAAATTCATGTTTTCACGATAATTGAAACAACTTTTTGTGACTTGCAAGCTTCGAAATAAATAATTTAGATTATTGCAATAAATGCAGTCTGTTTCCCATATTTGGATAAATATGTAGAACATATAAGCAGTGTTGCTTACATAGTGGTTTAAAGACTTTTTTTTAAAGTCCAAGGAGATCCATTCTTATTCTTTCTATCATGACCTAGTTTGCTACATCAAAAGATCAATAGGGGCACAGCCAATTTGTTATGGTGCAATTTCTTCAACTTCATTCAAACCTTCTTCTTGTTAATTGATTTATTTTTGTTTTAAACTGGGGGGGGGGGGTGGATTGCGAAACGACCTCTAAATTCTATCCTAAAGAATTACACTTAGTCTAGTGCTTTGATATTAATTCCGGTCAATCATGGATAATCCTAAAGGTCAATGTGTGTCATCTTAATTATTATGGGTCCTCGATTTGAGTTGATTCGATTTGAATAGGATTTTTTTTTTGAACAAAAAACATACTTAAATCGAGGACCCCCAGTATTTAGACATTTTAAATATTAGAAGATTTTTGGGTCATCAAAAAAGGTTAAATTCACAATTCAACATATAAAGAGATTGCGTTTCAAGTCGATTGAACATATCCTGCCCGCGTACTTTCAGGACACGTTAATAGTTCTTTAAAGGCAACTCTTTACTTTTTATTCGGACTACCCTTAAAATATGCAGAACAACACTGATTTTGAATAAATTTCCACACAAAATTCCTTTCGATTTACCGAGCAACAAATGTGAAAACGAAATGTTCTATGTACATTCGAAAATTTCTCCCCATTTATTTATTATTAAATTATTCATTCAGCATACATTTATAATAATTTTTTTTAAATAAATAAAGTTTTTAATATTCGATAATTAAAAATAAACTAAAAGATTTTTGGAGCATAAAATTTATTGTAGTAGCATGAATACAGAAGCTGTGCGTATTGGTTTCATAAGGTGCGCGCAGTTCGTTTAGACGCACTTAATTTTTTTCAAATTTTCCTTTAATAAACACTATTAAGACAAAAACTATTTTATGTGTTTATAGCTATGACCAATTAGGTTATAAATATAATAAAAGTATCTGACTAAATGCTTTGCTTAAGTAATTAAAATAATTTTTTCAAAAATTACAACAACAAAGTGCGCAGTTCGTTTAGACGCACTTTGAAAAATCTAAAATTTTGTCTTATTTACGTTTCGTAGAAAACTTAATCGTTTCTAATATTAATCTATCAACAAAAACGAGTAATTACTGAGGGTTTTAGAATTTTCCATCAAGTTTTTCCAGAGATTTTCCTTCATTAAAGTTTTCATGTTGCAAAAATTTTGATAAATTATTTATCCAATAATTTTGCGTTAAATTATTATTCTTTTAACTGATTTCCATAGATAATTGTCCATAATATTAGAAAATTAACAGATATTTAAGCTTTCTTATAAGTATAAGGCGAAAATATGTGAAAAATATAATTATGGTGAAAAATTTCCACCACTCTCATAGATTAATCAACAAATTTTGACAAAACTGTAGATACCATAATAAATTTGAATAGACCAGCTTATTTATCGTATTAAACTTAGTTAAAAACAGAAAACTGCACAGCTCTATGGCTAATGGAACTTGAAAATTTTACTGAAAAATTAAGTTGTGGTGAAAAAATTCACCATAGAAAAATAAAATTTTAAAAAAACTATGTCTAAGGTTTTAATTCATGTTTTAAATTGATTAATTTTGAGACAGAAACACTTTTACAACCTAATTTAAATGAAACAATTGCCTAAAACAACGTTTTTTAAAATTTTATTTTTCTATGGTGAATTTTTTCACCACAACTTAATTTTTCAGTAAAATTTTCAAGTTCCATTAGCCATAGAGCTGTGCAGTTTTCTGTTTTTAACTAAGTTTAATACGATAAATAAGCTGGTCTATTCAAATTTATTATGGTATCTACAGTTTTGTCAAAATTTGTTGATTAATCTATGAGAGTGGTGGAAATTTTTCACCATAATTATATTTTTCACATATTTTCGCCTTATACTTATAAGAAAGCTTAAATATCTGTTAATTTTCTAATATTATGGACAATTATCTATGGAAATCAGTTAAAAGAATAATAATTTAACGCAAAATTATTGGATAAATAATTTATCAAAATTTTTGCAACATGAAAACTTTAATGAAGGAAAATCTCTGGAAAAACTTGATGGAAAATTCTAAAACCCTCAGTAATTACTCGTTTTTGTTGATAGATTAATATTAGAAACGATTAAGTTTTCTACGAAACGTAAATAAGACAAAATTTTAGATTTTTCAAAGTGCGTCTAAACGAACTGCGCACTTTGTTGTTGTAATTTTTGAAAAAATTATTTTAATTACTTAAGCAAAGCATTTAGTCAGATACTTTTATTATATTTATAACCTAATTGGTCATAGCTATAAACACATAAAATAGTTTTTGTCTTAATAGTGTTTATTAAAGGAAAATTTGAAAAAAATTAAGTGCGTCTAAACGAACTGCGCGCACCTTATGAAAATAAATTATGGTAGTCAAAAAGAAAGAAATGGAGAATCGGTAAAAGCAAGAATAGAAAATGAGGTAATTTTTTCTCATCGATCGACTATTGAATGAGGTGGTAGAAGGCTGAGGCTGGTATGGTTAGCACATTTTTCTACAAAGTGCCTTATTTGTATTCAAAATTGATTAGAATTAGAAAGCTTTACAACATCTGACAAAAAACGTTCAATAAGCTTCATTTTTTTTATGTCTAGAAATAGACAATGAAGAAGCACAAAAAAAGAGATTCATTCGATTAGGTACTTAGATTTTCATCAAAAAAACATCATCCACATGATTCGTGCTTGAATTTTCTGAACAATTTTTTTATGACATTCTGTGTGCTTTGACTTTTTTTGTTGTTGTCATCGTACGTCTGGCACTGCCAGTCACACAGTTTACACAATAGAATGAAGAAATCAAAGCAATAATTCAATTTATTAAAAAGACATTTAATTTCTACCATATGCTATCTATTTTCATTATTTTTTCTTGTTTGTCACACTACAGAGTTGAATAAAATTGTAAATTTTTATTAGTTGACTGACAATAGTTTCAGTTTGTAGGAAAAAGTTATAATTAAGTGATTGAAACGATAACACATCGTTCTGCTTCAGTTGGGGAAATTCAATGAAAATTTTTACATTTATCAACATTTGAATTTAAAGAAGTTGTTCTATTCAGCTTTCCTTTTTGTTTCCAAACTAATACTTTACCTGAAAATTCTGATATCTAATGTCTTTTAATATCATATGTTAGAATCCGTAATCCATATAGTAATTATGGAGAACTAATCTATTTAAACATTCGAGAGACACGTTTTTAAATATTATAGGATGGCATACATATAGGAACGAGGACTGGGGAGGCTAAAGTTTGACTCAAAAGCTGATTAAATGAAAGACCAACAAAAGACCTGACTATAATGTTCGAGTACACATACAGCCTCATCAGCAGAAAAGTATTATCAAAATCACGATAATTATTTTAAGGTTTACCATCTCCAAAATCAGTTCGTATAAAAAAATAATCATGTGATAATTAGATGGGATACTTCAAGTCAAATTCATTCATTTGAATGCTTTTCTGCGACAAAACCGTTACACGTTAGTAAATAAAATATCAGTTTAGTCGCTGTATGTTTTTATTTAAGCAAACCAATCTTAATCTTAATCTGAAGAATTCTCATATATTTTACAGCTTTTTCTATCGAGATAACAATTAATTCTTTAAGTGATTAAATACTCCTAATAAATCTTATATTTTCGACCACAATAAGACCATTAGCATCTCAGCATATTAATCTCAGTTTTTTCAACCCTGACAATAACAGATTTCAGCTGAATATCATCAACTCACAAGAGAAAAATGACAAAAACAATAAATAAGATAAATGTTATGACTGAATGAAGATGAAATTTGAAGAGAATGTAGCGTAAATAAAGAAGCAAGCATCAGTACATAAGCATGTAGTGCAAGCAGTGATGATTTTCGGTGTGAAAATTTTCTCCCTTAAATTCTCTCTTATTTTCTATTTAACGTAATTTTACCACTATTTTTTATATTTTGTTACAGATCGAATGGATTGTTATGAATGCATGCTGGAACATTTTTGTGCGTGAAGAGGTAAAGCCTTTTTCAACATTCAAATTAGTAGGATGTCATTATCGCCCATAATTGTCGTGATAAATGAGATTATAATTGCTTAATAAACCAAATGGCACATTACAGCACAAAAAGGCGTAGGTTTGTGCTATAATTTTATTTTATGGTGATTAATCATAAATCACATAGCAAAAATAGTCAAATTTACGACTATTTGTACAATCAGGCATTTCATCGCTAAACTAAAACTTTACTTTTCATTTCTTCTCGAGTAAACAAAAAAGAGTAACAAGGTACAAGTAGTGGCATCAGAAAATATGAAAAGAAGCATCCATTCATGCTTCAATTAGGCTTCTTCTCGTAAGACTCGCACAACGCAATGTAATAAAAAAATATATATATTTTCATTAATTTGCTCTTTAAAGAGAATATAATGTTTGATGTTTCAGTATTGCTTTAGACTTCAACGGATTCGGATAAAAGAAAAGAAAAACAGTGAAAGAAAAGAAAAGCAAAGCAAAAAAAGATCTTTTTACTCTACATGTGCAATAAAAGTCATACACATAAGCTTTACCAAAAATTATTCCATCAACTCAGCAAAAAAAAAAATAATAATGTTAAGCAAGTCAAAAATGTACGAAAAAAAAATTAATTAAAACCATGAAAAAAGTCATCGACTGAGTGAAGTTGAGCTGTTATATTTTTTTATACGAATAAAGTTGAAACGAAAGATGTGAAATTTTCATAAAAATCTATGTGGATGTGAATAAAGTTGCAAGTGAAAATACACATAGAATGTGTCATTAACAAGTTTCAGCACAAATATTCACAGTCATATTGTGGAAAACTCATTATGATAAAATTTTAATAAATAAGTAAAGCACTTGATGATACCTCAATTCATTCACATAAAGTACATTACATGAGCATGAAAATTCGATGATGTAAATGAAATGCAAATTGCAAAATTACTTCATTCATGAGTGTTCAGTTTACCAGACTCTTTATAATCCACACACAAATTTTTGTTTTTATTTTATATGTCGAGTGGTTTGCCAAATTGATTTTTGGAGCACTGTGAATGAAATAATGAAAACAGACATCATTGGGTTATGTCTGTGTGTGTATGTGTGTTTAGCCATGTAACCCTTTGGCAGTGAACTTATTTGCTCATCCTCTAGAAAGTAAAATTCTTTTTTTTTTCATTTGATTTATAAATTGTCAGAAAAAGAGAAAAGCACAGCATAGACTATTTTTTTGAATCAAAAACATACATTTTGTCGTACAATCATGTGAAAACGATAACGTTTTTATCGTTTAGAATGGAAATGTTCAAGCCACACAAAACCAGGACAAAAAAGAAGAAGGAATTTGTGATTTCTTGCGAACAAATTAAAATTAGCGGTTTTGAGTTTTTTTTGCAATAAAATTAATGTTTTTTTGTAAATTAAAAACTTTCAACCACATTCAATATGTCGCCTTCGTACGATATAGTCTTTATATTGTCAATGTTATTTGCTTTCGCAAATATGAGAAAATTTTAAAATTAGATTTTCGTAATTTTCCAATGTTTGTGCTTCTTGATTGATGAGTATGAAAATGTTGAATCAGAGCAAAGCATCAATGTATATATACAGTTTGTTAGAAAATATTTACTTTTATGCTATTCAGGCAATAGAGAATCCGCAAAACTAATAAACATCACCTAATTAAAACTTTGTGAAAATTAACATAGTAAATTCTATTTCCCTGTTTATTCTAACGATAATCTCAATTAACATTTCGCTATTTATAAAACTATCATCATAAAGTCTACTTCAACAATATTAAAGCTACTGCTTTAAACTCATATAAAATTAATTCGAGATCATAACGTTTAATTTCTTATCAATAAATCTTCTTCTGCAATTGATTTGCTGTATAATGATATCATTGAACATATAGAGATTAAATTGAATTAAATTTTAATCAATTATGTTTGTGTGTGGGAGATGAAATTAATTCAGTAGAATGCATTGCCATAGTACATAGAGTCTATAGGCCAGTGTTGAACATTAATTTTCCGAGTCTCTCTGTGCATCAGCAATAAGTTTAATCAATAAGATTAAATTTTATCTGCTTTCATGTCTCTGACAGTTGCCATGACCATAAATTTGTACATTTTGTGTGCAGCTTTGCTTTATTTTCGATTTTTTTAAAATGTGAAATGCCAGAATTGGGCACTTGAATAATTCGATTTTGGCAATAACGGTCATCGTCATATTTTATAGATATCGTCAATGTTTAGATTTTATTATATTTGACACCTGTGTCATGATGGCATTTTTATGATTGATAAAGCGACATTTTTCTATAACATACCACAATGTATGTTATTGGAGCATATGTAAAGTGTGAAGTTGAGGTTTATGAATGTCTTTTAATTTTTTCTGGTCAATGACAGACTTTTAAACATAAAACTTTTAACATCTTCTCTAAGTATGTTTAAAAAAATTATTGTTCCTGACCTAGATGGAATTTTTGTTTGTTACGCTTTCAATTTCTGCTGAGTTTAATATCAATTTCCCTAAGGATCCCTTCTTTTATTCCTCTTAGCTGTTAAGAAAGATTTTATAAATTTTAACATTTTAAGCACCAGAGTGTCGGATCCTCGTTAGAGTGAATAAGAAGCACAATAATTTTAAAAATACATGAATGGAAAAGTTTATTTGAAAGCAAAAAAAAAGGAGGGAATTTTGGGCTGAGCATTATTCTTTCATCATTTACAGTCATAAAAATGTATGCGAAAGCCATATTTTAATATTTTTAGTTCCTTCCGAAGAAAGAGAGTTGTAATTTATGGCATCATGCTCTAAATTACTTCGAGACCAATGATTTTTTTTCTTTCCGAAAAATTAAAGCACATGTTTATTTTGTACTGCATGTGCATTTCATGCAAAAGTAAATTTAATAATCTGGATTAATTGCAGCGTAAAGTGAATCATTAGAAACTTGAAAACAATTTCGTGCTAGCATTTAAAGCGTGCATTAAATGCGATAAGAAGAAGAAGAAAAGAAAATTTACGAAAGAAAACAAGAGAAAATTGTTTGTGCTTTTCTTTACAAAATATAATCATCAACGATAACAATAAAACAAAACAAAATAAAAAATCATATCGGAATTATTGAGTGAATATCGAGTGCAGAAATACTAGCATTAGTGGAAGCGTGACACACGTGATATTGAGTGAAATAGAAACTGTTTTGAGTGCTGTTGTTGTTGATAATAAGAAGAACTTGAGGATATCTTTTCATTTTTCCATCCATTAATCATCATTACTATCGAAACATAATAGACAATTAAGAGATTGAAAACAATCAATCAAAATAGGTTCGGGTCAAAGCAATAACTTTAGCAACAATGGAAGAATTAGAATGGGAAGTTCTCACGAGCTGCCTAGTAGGAGGAAGAGAAGGTAAATTGACACATAATACATACAGACAATTATTCCATTTTAAGCAAGCAAAATATATATATGTATATGCGACATGCCAATTAGGTTCTATTTAGAATTGAAATTTTTTGGGTCAACGGTCTCGCTTTGGTGACAAAAAGCACAAAGAGTGGGAAAATTGCGAAACAAAAAACCTTTTATTTTCAATTCTTAACAAATTTCAATTATTTTCCGCTATTGCTCTCTTTCTTTCGCTTCCAATATATTCTAACACCTGCTGCTTATCGAGTACGAAGCATTTTCTTTTTTGACTCATTTATCAAGATACTTCTAAATTAATTAGACATAAATCAGACTTGGGTGGCGGAACAACACTCCGATTTCTGTTTGAGCAAGCCATTATTATGTAATGTTGTATTAAGGAATAATTTATCAGGTTTTGAGAGTCGTGTTCTGTCATTTAAAGGATATCACGAATTAATTGATGCTAATATGAGTTTTTGTAACTTTATTATTCCATGCTGAAAACTTCCTTTTTGACGGAAAATTAATTGCCGAATAAAAAGACATCAACAGTAGGACTATAATCAATCTCAATTATCCTATTGTCTCGCTCAGCAGAAAATTCATACTTAATTATTTAGTCAAACAAAAGTTGAAACCTTTCGTGACACAGCAACAGACAGAAAAATTCATTATTTAATTTAGTTTTTGCCGGTTGTATGAACACTAGTAAGGCACAAGCACTATTACCGGAAGTAATTTTAGTCTTGTGATTCCTCTTGTTGCGAGGGTTATTGCCCATATTTCCAAAAGCATGAAAAAAAGTTACCATAACGCTTCATAGGTAGAATAAAAGTGTAGACAACAAACAACGAAAATAAATTTATGGAAGTGAGGGAAGAATCATGGAAAAGAGAGAAAGAGAGACAAAAAAGCATATTAATATTTATATTTCAAGCTGTGAGTGACTAAGGTAAAATGACTTGAATTATTAGGTATAAACTTGTTGCATTTTATATTAATAATACAGTAACACACAGAATAAACATGACTTTTGTTCCCGCAAATACACAAGCAATCGAAAATAAACCACCAATTTTTTTTTATGTACTCAACTAGAATTATGCTATGAATCATGTGCTTAATTGCCTGCAACACTTGTATAGTCTTTATTAATTGTTCCTGTGTTATTTTTGTTTTTGCTAACACTTATTGTTTATGGAACTATCAGATCGATCAATTTTATTGGGGAACATTTGTGCTGAATTCATGAATAATTTATGAAAAATGCTTTGTCAGATGTGACCAAAAGTTTTCATTATTCATTTTGGACTATGTTAAATTTTAATTACAATGTCTGATTTTTATAAGTGCATTTGAATGGGGGGTCCTTGGGGGTCTTTTGTAAATTATTACCACACTATCATATATAGCATAATTTACGATTAATTTCTAACTATTTCAATCTATTGCCAAAATTAAATAAATAAACAAAAAATTGCTTTGAGGTTTAAATTTCCTAAATTCCTCAACGATATCCCCTCTATGAACAAATTCCATTTAAATTCCCTCATAATTTATTGAAAATTGTTTTTTTCGCCAATTTGGTGGAAACAATAAAGAGTCGTGCCAATTTTCTTCTTTCACCCCTCACTATAACTGCACAAAGTGTTTCTCATTATTATTTATTGACTATAATATTGTTTTATATTGACGGGTATTTCATACATTTTATAGACTTGTGGTTATTGTCTTCGTTAAAAATATTTACCGAATCATAAAGAAATGACTCTAAATTGCTTTTCAATATAATAATGATAATAATAATAATAATAGGAAGTAGTAGAAAAGAGACAATTAAGAAGAAAAGTATAAATGACAATTTAAACAATAGGCAAAAAAAAGTAATAGTAAGCATAAGAGATGAATAATCGTTAATGCATACAAAACCGTTTATTCACCCAAAACTATACAACAACAACAGCATAACATGAACAACAAGCAGCAGTCAGTGAGAGTTGTTTTTTGTTCATTCACTTAATCTCTTTCTATCTCCTACCAAATAATTTACAATATAGTCATTCAGTTGGTGCCACTGACGTTTGCTGTTTTTTTTTGGTGGTATTAAATTTTTTTGTTTGTAGCCAGTACGTACGTAGACCTTTATATCTTTATCCATCTCTCGTTACGATCAAGTGATTTTCATTCACATTTTATCCTCTCTTTCTCTCTCTCTTGCCGCTGATTTTTCCAACATTTAAAATAATTTCCAAAAAGAACAATAGCTACAAAAATATTCATTAGTAAACTTACTATCGTATAGGTAAATGTACATAAAATTACATACATTTAGTTTTTGTAGAGCAATAACATATAGTTGATTTTTAGCAGCAGTGAGTATGATCATATTGTGGCAGTTTAGTTTAAGCCTTCGGACGAGAGACACATAGAGGCCACAAAGAGCTTTATTTAAATTATAAAGTTTTTTTTTTGTGCTGGTCGTTGGTTGTTAATTACAGACAATTGCCGCTGTTAATTTACATATAATTTTTGGTTAGTTTCAAAATCTCCTCTACAGCTGCTTACTGTTGTCGAAATAAGCATTTTTTTGTTTTTTTTCATTTTCGCAATCATAAACCTTGTCCAGAGCATTGTTTGAGAACAAAAAAGAAGTGAGAAGAAAAGTTTTGCAATTTTAATACTTTTTTTATATTTCTTCATGTTCTTCTTTCTTTTCTATTTGGCAAACTGCTTAATTGTATCAATTAAGTGAAAATGTGAATAGATATTTTTTATTGGGGTAGAATAGTCATAGATAGTATTATTAAGATAGATGTTACACCTTCCATTAAAAGTTCTTTTATGAACATTCATTTATTCTCTCATTTAGAAATTCTGACTGCATATCAAATTACGTAGACAGAGTTCGTATATGTGATACTAAAAGCATAGCATCAGAGTCAGTGTACAGTAAAGCGAGCAGTCAGAAATCCGGTTGGCGTCAGAAATCTTATTCGAGTATTGATTTGACTGGTGATGGTGATTATCAACCTGGAGCTGGTGCGTTTCGTTATCGTGATTTTGACTCTCAAGATGACATTAGCATAAAGAATTTAAAGAATAATAAAAATAAGGAAATACAGCGTGATTACGAGGACATTTACAACGTCAATCCAAAGGGTAATTTCTCATTATTCTAGTATATCACATTATTTTCCATTCTAATGGTGTGAAATAATTCTTAAATTAGTTTTTTGGATTATTACAGCTCAGGGTTATAAACGAGAAATCATAAAGGAACATAATAAAATTAATCAAAATAAGCGCGACAATAATGATGTTTGCAGTTTACGACGAAGTAAAAGTCTAGCTGTTATCAGAGAAGAAACATTTAATGATCTTACAATCGACGGGCCAAAAACACGACGTTCGCAATTAATTCCGAGAGCAAAATTAATTGATAGAAATTTCTTCCGAAATAGGTGAGTTTCACACAAAAGCTACATTTATCACCGTTCATTTTCCTGCTTGAAGAAAATTTAATTAAAAGGATCAAGTGAGATTAAAAAGAAGAAACGAGACTGAAAAAAAATTAATTTTGTTAAAATTTCAACATGAGATTAATTAAAAAACTTTATTTATGAGAGTGAAAACGGAATGACAACCTGACGAGAGTTCTAAAGGGATGTGGATGTATAAAAATAAAACACAAATAGCAGTGAGAAAGTCATATATTTTAGTGGCATTTCAGGCATGTTTGAATGAAAGCATGACTTGGTAAACAAATTGAATTAAAATGAGGTGTACGAGAGTGCGATGATTGACAAAGTTTCATTTTTAAATATCAGAGATCGAAGCCGATTTTTTCGGCTTAACTCAATTTTTGATTTTTTTGATAGAAAAAAGCCATTTGACACCCATTTCAAGTATTTAAATTGAACTTTACATGCTTTACTATGATTCTGTGTAATATTTTGTCAGCATGTAGCTATAGTGAGCTCAGAATTTCAATTTAGTCGATGATAAGCCGATCGGCTTAAATTTCGGCTTAAAATCGGCTAAATTGAAATTCTGAGCTCACTATAGCTACATGCTGACAAAATATTACACAGAATCATAGTAAAGCATGTAAAGTTCAATTTAAATACTTGAAATGGGTGTCAAATGGCTTTTTTCTATCAAAAAAATCAAAAATTGAGTTAAGCCGAAAAAATCGGCTTCGATCTCTGTTAAATATGAATTAAAACGAATCATAAAATATGATATTTAAGCCTCATTTTCATTTCATATAAATTTAATTATGCTGAAAAATTTTCGCTTTAGAAAATTGCATGACATGGTGTGAAATTATCATATCAACAACGTGTGTACAGTGCGACTACATATTACCAACTCAATTATCTCACTGAGCTACGAGTTAAAGAAAATTAAACGAATTATAAATCACGATATGAATTAAGAGTGATAAAAGCTAGTCTTTACGTTTCATACATAAAAGTAGTAATTCAAAAAAAAAGTGAGCGTATAATTTCTATTCGGTGCACTTTTAACATGAAATGTGTTAATTTTATGTGAAAAGTTCATCAATTTGTTTTACGATGTGATATTTTTAGATATCGTATAAATAACTAAGCCGAAGTTTTGTGAACGCATGGCGTTATACGAGAATAACAAAAAAATATTGTATGACTCACTTAAAGAGGTCAAGAACCACACAAACTGGGGATTTTTTTTCAATTTAATTTTTTTTCTGGTCTAACTCGATTAATTTTCGATCAAATATTTGAATAGTGTATCTAGGCAATATTAACTTGATTTATTATTTAATCTATCACTCAGCGTAGAACTCGATATTTAACTTGATTTATTGCATTAGGAAATTGAAGAGTTTAAATAACTGAAAGTTTATATAGTTGTTGACATGATGGAAATAAGAACGATATAGCGACAAAGTTGCTACTGCCCTTATTTCTTTGAGTTCTCTTTAGAAAGTCCTACTGTTATGAGAAATTTACAACTTCTAATGAGAGTAAAATATCAATAGACGATAGTTGGACTTGGGAATGTAATATGAGCAACAGAAGCAGAAGGAAATGTGCATTTTGTAGATTAAACTGTTCACATACAAATCAGTCTCATGTGTGATAGTAAAACTTTTTATATAATCTTTATTGTTGTATTATTTTGAGCAACCAGAACATTTATTTTTAATTCTTTTTCCAACTGCTAAAGCTATGGTCTCTGATAAATTATTTAATTCTCACACTTTCAAAATTACCATTTCTTATTTTTTGCATAAAAGTTTTTGACCATTTCATAATCAAATTTATGAATTGTGAAATTAACCAACTTTCATTCAATTTAGTTTTGTGAGCAGTCGATGTATTTTATAATACTCTTGTTCACCGAACCAAAACCGTTTAAATCGTCCATACGTATTACATTAACATTAATTTGGAAATCAACATTATGATCTATACCGTGTCTTTTCATTGGGGTGCATAATGTTTAATTTAGCAAGAATCTATGTTCTCTGTGAAATTGAGGTCATTAGAATGTCAACGTTATTAAAGACTCAAATAATTTTCTAAGAATATTATTCATATTTTGCTTTCATAAACGTCTAGACCTAGAGTATATTCACGCTTAGATGCTTTCTAGACAAAGGTTTCGTCTAGGTTAGATTTAATCTGATTTATGCAAACGAATAAATTTCAAAATTGGATAATTTCCTCCTGAAAAACCTACACAAAACATACATGAATGAAAAAGATACTTTAATGAATTTATTGTCTCACTTTTTTGAGGAAACAACACAATTATCTACGGTACACAACATTTGTTTTCACTCAAAACGTGTCAACATAACCTCAAACAAATTCTCCTCTTTAACATGAACTAATTTAATTAAAATTTTCATTTTCATTCTTGAGAAACATGAAATGAAACATATAGCTGACATAATCTCAAGTAAATAAAACCAGATAACGGAATTCAATTAAAAACATTTTGAGGAACATTTTTATTGCTGTAAAATCTTTTCTAGAAGACAAAACTTATAACAATATGATAAAATTTACTCAACACAAACAAATTGAATTAAACTCTTACTGAACTCAATCCTTCAACTTTTTGAGTACATTTGAGTAGACACTGTAAAGATAACATGATAAAATAATCAAGAAGAGGAAGAAAAAGTTTTATGTGAGATAAAGACCAACCTTAAAGTTTGTGAATTGTGTAATCTCTACTCACTATGAAAAATGAATTGAATTAGATTTAATTATTATGATTAATTTTCTCTTATTTTTCTCATTTTTTTCATTTTTGTCTCACTCTCTTTTGTCAGATTAAGCTTCGCTTTAGAGGAAGGTCTCAGTTTTAGTTTGGATTCTAATTTAACAAGTGAACAGCTCAAAAGCAGCTCTAATTCAAACAGTCTCAGCAATATCAACAATAGTAGCATTCAAGAAACAGCAGCAACAGCAAGTGCCGTGAATAATAATAATAGCAGCACAAATAATAATACCAGCAATAATTACTTTTCGTGGAATTGCGATAAAAGTGATTTAGGTAGCATTGACTCAAACTTCTTTAAAAATTCATTGCATCAGACTGCATTGTTGGAAAAATCAAATTTACTACAAATAGAAAATTCTACGAAATTTGTGTCGCGTGCGGAAGTTCATAATGAAAATAATGGCAACACTGACAATTGTAATGACAGTGGAAGCAGCAACAATATTGTAGAGAACGGAAGTGTAAAGAGTAGCAAGGAAAAAAGTGAAAACATCATAAATAATAATAATAACAAAAATAATACCGACAATGAAAATTCAGTGAACATAAATGAAGATACGGAAAGTGGTATAACAATAATTGAAATAAAAGATAGAAAACAATTAAGTGGGCCTACGTCAAGTGTAATATCTTACGATTCAATTTATCTATCATCAGAAAGTGATAAGCAGACAGTACTTGGAGAAGAGGAATTTTCGCATTTTGACGACATTGATTCGAAAATTAAGGACTTTGAGAAGATTATAAAGGAATTAAATTTAATTGGTGAGAGTGAAAAATCTGACATTTTAATTGATAACTTGTACTGTCAAGTGGCAAAAGGCAGTTGTGGAAATCTCTTAGACTTAAAATTAACAAAAGAAGAAGACGGTGAAGTGAGAATAAATTCAGATACATTAAGCAAGTATACAGATCATATCAGTAAGGGTACTTTAGAACGTCTTGCAATATTATCAGGATTTTCATCTACAAGTAGCAACAGTCGAAAGATTGAAGAAATCAAAAATAAGAGGAAATCCAAGGATTATGAGCCTAATAATAGTCCTTTGAGTGAGACTAAAGGACATTTTCAATATTCATCATTACCAGATGTCGACATAAGTAAATTACTGAGAGATTGTGAATTGATTGATGCAAAGCTTAGAGATGATGTTTCGATTGAATTGCTAGAACCTTTCCCAGATTATGACATTGATATAGAGACCAACGACACGACCATTTCAGAATCTCTTAATATTGATGATATCAATAACTACGGGTTATATAAACGAGAAGAAAAAGAAAAGGGAGAAACTGAAGATTCAATTGAGAGCATTGACAAATATCAAAAGGTCAGCAGCAATAACAATAATACGATAAACACTCATGCATCATTAAACGAACCAACATCACTTGAGCAAGAAAATCCAAAGGGTGCTCCATCAATCGAGTTAGTGCAATTGCCTACAAAAGAATTCGAGGACGAAACTCATTTAAACGAAGAATTTGTTGATGAATTAAGAGTAAGAAACACAACAAAGATTTATATAGAAGACCTTGGATTAGAGCTTGATTATGAAAATTCTATAGCCAGTTTTAACAGTGATGAAGACTTTGAGTCGCCAACTGATGAGTTAGATGAGCATCATTATCATAACAATAGCACAATACAGAACACAAGCGTCAATTTCCATCCTTTTTATAAGCCACAATCACTTAATCTTATCACAATTAGTGGAAAGAAAGTTATTGTTGATGAATTAGCAGCAAAAAGTGAACATCATAAGGACAATAAAGAGCAATTTGAGGTGGTGTCGGGAGCATTAAAATCATCGTCATCATCATCATTTACGGAAAAGCCTAAACAAAAGAGCAATATTGAGAGAGAACGAAAGAAAATTGTCGAAGAAAAAGAAGATTTAGAAATTTTAGAAGTCGACTCTCCAGTCACAAACAAAGAAGAGTCATCACAGAAGAATAAAAAGATCACAGAGAAAATTAATGGTGCTGATAACAGCAGCCAACGACATAAAATAAATATAGATAAAAGGGGAGAGAGAACGATAAAATTGCCTGAATGCAAACAAGCATCAAAATATTACGTAGATAGCAGCAGTGATAAGAGAATTGTTTTCAGAAATAATTCCGACTTTGATGATAATTATTATAGTACTGCAGCCATCGTTGAAAACGAGGTGATTCAGTCTGTATCAGATTGTGAGAGAGTAGGCAGCTCTGTTGTGAACGTAAGCAAGAATAAAGATTATACATCATTTTGTATCCTCCAGAAATCAAATTCCATCAATTCAAATCTAAAGATGCCTCGCCCACAGTTACTTAATATTATCGATTCCAAAAATAGCATACCAAAGTTTCAACAGCAATCTCAAATTCAACAACATCAGCAGCAGCATAAACAAAGGATGACAGTTAACAATAATGCCGAAACAAATAAAGATGAAAGGACAATATTGAATGAACCGGAGGAGAAGCTATCGTCCCCAACATTGGAATTAAATGAAACGGAAAAGGAATTTTTACATAAAGTTGATTCTGTTCGAAACTACTGGTCAAGAATGCTTGACAATGAAGCAATTGAAATGAAAGAAAATAACTTGAAATCAATGTCCAAAGCATTTGCTACATCGAAATCTTCAAATGACATTCCTCAATCAATCCGTAATGAAGAGGGGTTTCAGAGTTTTTTCCCTACTGTTGAAATAATTGAATTAAATAATGGTGAAACACAAGCAGCATTAGTAACAGCACGTAAATTAAATGACGTAGAGTTTGATCATGTGAGATATAAAGTAATGAAAAGTGAAATGTTTCAAAAGAATATAGCTAGAAGTAGCAAATACAAGAAGGAGACACAATTTGATGGATTAATGCAATACTTACAGGATTATAGCTTTCAAGAACTGTTAGCAAACAATAATGTTGTCATAATTGAACCTGTACGAACGAAAATTGAAAAAGTATCCGAGAAGCCAAACAAATCACAATCGGCAATTTGTAAAATTACGAATGGCGCCCCAGCTAAACTTAATAGAAGTGGATCAAATAATCTCAAGAAACATTTCTTTTATCATCCAATACGAGTAAATAAAGAATTATATGAAGACGAGCTTCCCGTACCCGATACAGTCAGAAATGTAAGAAAATTATTTGAAGATTCATTGAGATTAGGGTGTCCATCTACGACATTAACGGAACGAGATTCAAATATGTCTAAGTCATCTGACAGTTTAAAACCACGTAAAACAATTCGATATCTAACTATCGATACGTCATTTGATAATAATTTGGCAACATCGAAATGGGACTCGATAAGTTTATCAAGTGGAGTTTCGAGTGCCGCAGATCTTAGTTCACCTTGTGAATGTCAAGAGAACAATTTGGGTCGAAATGTATGTAATAGTAATAGTAGCAGTAACGGAAGTAAAGAAAACCTTGACAAGAGTTATGATAGTGGCAATGCTGGAATGGAAAAAGCACATCTTGTTACTACTGATGTACTCGAGAAGATGAGAGAATGTGGGTCATCAATAACTTATTATGGCCCAAGCGTTGCTACAAATCAAATGTTTAACGAAAACCACAAAATTAATCCTGAAATAATGACTAAAGTCGTCACGAAAGACATGGGCGTATTAAGGGAAAAGTGTAATTGCCATGGGCGTCAGTTTCGAAATAATTTTTCATCGTCAAATGAAAAATATCAACAGCACCAGCAGCAACAACAACAACAACAGCAACATCAGCTTCATAAGAAAATGAATAATGATTATACAGGTAAGATAATTAGAGACTTGAAATGCAAAATAAGTGTTCTTTACATAAATTTTCTTTCTTCCATATTTCTCTCTTGGATGTTCCTTATGTCTAATGTACAAAAAACAAACTTTCTCTGTATCATTTCATGAAAAAATATTATGCGGAAACATACACACACACACATCCAAAACAAAACAATATAGGATTAAAGTTTAAGCTTGTAAAAAGTAACAGCTGCTCAAGTCGCTTGGAATTGGCTGGCACAGGAGTTGGAGAACTTAATGCTGTGGAAGAAATGCGAAATATTGTTCACGGTCAAAGAAATCAATTATATGATGAGAACAAAGAGGATGATGGAGAGACTATGGGAGAGGACGAATATGAGAATGAACATAAAGAGGATTATGAGCACGAAGAAACTGTCAAGGATATGATTTATAAATTGGAAGCCAAAAACTTTGTAACAACAACAAAGCCGAGAATAATAGAATCTAGATGTATAGAGAAAGTTCCACGAGATGCTAAAGTCACAATAAATAATCAAACATTTGAAAAGACGGGAGCTAAAAAATCCGCAAGCTTGAATTCATTAATATCGCCGTCGATTCTATCACAGAATTCAAATAATATTGATCTCCATAGTGAAAACGTAACAGTGAACAATCACATTTCAATTCTGAATAGCACAGCAGATATAACAGCAACAACAGCAGTAGTTGTCGAGTCAAATAATCTAAATGAGAATATGGATGTCGTAAATAGTAGCAGTAGCAATAAAATATCGTCAGTAAAGCCAAAAGTTGTTCGCAATAGGAATGTGGATCTTGCAATGATAGCTGTGAACAAGAAAAAAGAGATTGCAAAAAATCCTAAAGGATTTAGCAGCGACACTGAGTCGATGCTGTTGGCACAGAATGATAACAATAATGAGATACATGAAGTTTCTAATAATCATCATCATCATAAGAATAATGGTAAAAAGTCTAGAAATCTCATTTCTTCCACTACAATGCAATCTGTCGAGATGGTGAAAAATCAAGATAAGATTAATTGTGCTCATTACATAAAGAATCAGGCCTCAGCATCAGTTGAAATTTCCACATTATCTCTACAGAAATCAGCAGTGCCTTCAGACGAGGAGCTTCTACAGCAGCAGCAGCAACCCGTAAAAATGGTAAATTGGGGCACAGTTGGAATTTTGAGTAAAGAATTTTTTGCAAACGATAATAAATTAATTCAGATAAAGCCCTATGATGAGATGGAATTCGAACAGTTTGAAGTGGCTGGGGAGCATTATGATAGTTTGAATAGTAAGTAACATCAACATAACACTTTATTCTTCTTGCCTACAAACGATCCTTACTTTATCCACCCATCCATACTATTTTGAATATTTTTAAATATCATTTAAATTTCAAAAGTTATGATAATAAATCTTTTCTGTATGCCTTAAAGAAAGCTATGAAGCAATTTTCATATTACAAACATATTTTGAATAATTTATCAGATATAAAGATAGCATATTTTCCAAAAATAGTATAATTTAGCATGTTAAGCATTAAAAGAAACTTACCACCACTATTGGTATTGCTTGTTGTGGACTCTAGCTCATTATTTTTCGTAGCAATGTCCGATGTCGATGATGAAGAAGAAAATCGTTGCGTGCAACTCCAAGTGAAATTCTGTGAACGGTTAAACAAAACAAAAAATAAATGAATATTCATTCATTTTTCACTTCAATAGAGAGGAAAGGCAAGGAAAGGAAACGGTAGAAGTGAATGGAAAAACATTCAATATACTCAGCGGTGTAGCAAGGGTTGGAGTCTCTTGAGATTTCCCAAAATTTCAAACACAGCTTACTCTTGAAACGCTTATATAAAGATTAAGTGAGTCAATAGCAAACTGAGAGGGAAACAATATAATGAGAACAATTTTTGATGTTAAATTCTCGCTAATTTTCTTCTTAAATGCCTATCAAATATTTTCCCATCATGTTGTTCTACCCTTGTTGCCAACCCTTTGCTATACCACTGAATATAAAGTTTGTTGAGGGAATCTTTTTCCGCTTTCTTTTGTTATCCTCTCCATTCTTGTTTTCTTTTGTCTGATTTAAGACAATTTGATTTTTCCGTGTTATTCTTTTTCGAAATGCTCAGCAAGACAGAAGATAATTAAATGTTTGTTATAAAGAAATATTTAAAGAAAACTTTTATGTTTGTTCAATGAAAAAAAAAAAGGAAATTATTCAAGTAGGTTTACCTCCTATCCTAAAATCCTTTTCGTTTTATATTTTATTCCACACAAGACCCATAAAACTTGAGCTTTGGTAGCAACCGCAAGCCTTATCGTAAATAAAAGCTCTATATATAGACCAAGTTAAAAAAAAAAGTACGTAATAAGAAAATAAAAGTGAGTAAATATGTGAAACCAAAAATCAATAATTTATGTTCATAAATTTTTAATGCATACGGTTATTAACTTAATAGTTTTGTATTTGACTTTTTTTGCTCACATTTATTTTTTCTTTTACAAAATGTTTAGCACATGTTTAATTTATGAAAATATAGGAAGGAATACATTTCTTAAATACCTTTGTAAACATAGTTGAAATACGTAAATAAATAAAGGCATGAAATAAATTTTATGCAAAATTATGGTGTATGGAATTTTTGTCGTCATACCTAAACGTGAAATGATATTTAACTTCGAGGAAAATAAGTACAGAAGTAGGCAATTTCTGTTCTATTGGGACATTCGCATAGAAATGGATGTATGCATGTAATGAAAAAAGAAAATTCCATTTGTTCTTCCTTTTACAACCGTACGACAAGCAATGTAACATAGCAACGTGCATGATGATGATAAAGAACATGGCAAAGAGTAAGGAAAATTTCATTATACATCTCCTTCTTGTTACAGCTGGTTCTACACAAATGTTGACACCAATTTTCTCACACACAGAACTAGAAATTCAGTTCCTTTTTCTAGTCTAATATGCAATCCCGAAAGAATTATTAAAATCGGTTCACGGTAAATAGGTGAATTTGATTGTGCTATATAAGCTCGACTAGGAAAGTTTGTTTAACATAGAACAGGCGGCTGTCAAATGAAAATACAAAATCGTTGGAAACAGAGAAATTGAAAAAAATAATCATTGAGCATTTGCAGCACACTTTTCAAGTTTTTAGCTGTACAGACGCATTTGTTATTAATTTGACTAGTCGTCCATTTATTTCCGTATGCACAATCCACAGGAAACTTGCAATCGATCTCATTTTTGGCACACATACTGCCTATGAGTTTGGCTCCTGTATGACTAAATAAATGTTTAATCTTGTGTGGTCGGTTCCTTCTTGAAGCACAATTTCTTTCTTCTATCGACCAGTCTTTCAACTTTGAGCTTAAAACAAGCAAACTTTTGAATATCTCAGTTTTATAATTTGTAAGGATAATATCAAGCATTCAGATGTAAAGCTCTTTCGCTAAGAATTCATATGATTCCTTCTGCTACTGCAATTTATATCTTAAGGTTTTTGAGTTCATTCATAAATAACGCTAAAACTTTTGAGGTCTTTTCCACTTGAGGTATGGTTCATTAATTTGTTTTGAAGTATATTAAATCAAGGGCCATTGAAAACTCGAGTTTCAAAGCCTTCAACTTGTTCCTTAAAGAATCTGAACTCATTTAAGACTATAGCGTAGTTTTTGACTTTCATTTGCGGCACTTATAATTTAAGTAATGCATAAACTTCTCTCGAGTCCATGCTCACTGGGCATGGACAACAACTCTTTAGTTTGAAGGTATCAAAGCGTTACAGTACGATTTTCTGTCATACAGCTTGCTGACATTCTATATATCTAAACGTAAATGAATTTTATCAACCACAAATGCTCTTTAATTCCACGTCCACTCGAACATCTTGCACTAGTTTCTATTTCCTCCACGCTGTTCCAATGTCATTTGCATAAAGTCCTACGTGTTTTTTTTTTCTTCTTCCTGTGATTCTCATTGTTATTTTGGTTTGGAGTGTGCGGTGTGGGAAAAATAATTTTACGATATTCTATTATCATTATTAGAAGAACTTGAAAAGTTGTTTATGCATAATCTTTTTTAAATTGAGAGAAAAAAAAGTTGATTGATAAAGTTTGTTCCTGTGCTGTACAAAGAGAAGCTTTACATCCCCTCCTACAATGACAATCACAAGCGTATTAAAAATGGAATTTTCTTCTCATTCCTGCTTTTTTTCAGTATTTATTTTCATTATTGTGCGGAATAGAGTAAAAAGAAGTATAAAAACTGTTGGATAATATTATTCATGGCACGTTAAAAAAAAGTTTCCTTTATGAACCACAAAAGAAGCGCTCAAGGACATAAAATGAGTCACTTTTTGTGCATGTACTTAGTGTGTTGTCGTCTTAAGAATTTTGTGAAGTCGAGTGAGGAATTTTCCATTTTTCTTGGAGGCACAAGAAAAAAAAATTATGCCACGAGAAAAGAAAAATCTGCAATGAAGTTATTGATTTTCTTTTTTACAGCACGACAAAAACAATAAAAATATAAATTGTTTCTTTTGTAAATCTTTTTTTTTCTGGTTCCTCATCATTTTTTTATCGAGATATAATCAAATATATTCGCTACATGATCATTGTGGGTGTTCAGGACAAAAGTTCGTAACGCTATTTTTAGTATGATGAAAAATTTCTTTTCATATTTTTCACACTTGCTAGTGTATATATACTAAAATATACCTCTGCTCTCAGAGGCGTATCCAAAATATTTTTCGAAGAAGAATCGATTTTTTAATAGCTGCGAAAAATTATTCAAATTGGATTCAGGTTTTTTTAAAAGATATTTTATGACAACGGTACCCAATTTATTTTAAAAGATTCCTCGTAGACTGTAGCACTATGATGAAGCCATTTTCAAAGGATTATTTATACAGAGCTTGACTTTATACAAAACTCATTTCATTTTAGAGCTCTAGTCCTAAATTCTTGGCTATAATTTTAAAGCTATGCTTTTTTTTCCATTCTAGCCAGAGCTCGAAGTCGATGGAATTTTGTATGCAGTCGACTCTGTCATACAAAACCGATGAAAATGTTGAGTCGACTTCGAGCTCTGATTCTAGCTAATAAGCTCGGTTAGTAGGCAAGATGTAGTATAGAAGTTTCTGCTTAAGAACATGCTAAGTAAAAAGGGGTTTCCTAGCTTCTGGAAGACTTAATGCTGGACCATATACAGCACAAAATTGCTATGAAATAGTATTGATTCGCGGCTGTTCATGGCTCATTCTGACTGCAAAAAATAAGATACAGTGTGCAATAAGAGTATGGGCTGTATCTTACTAAGAAGTATAAGCTGAGCTAGCAATAGATCTTAAATCTACTTTGAAGTGTTCTAATGAATTTACAATCGATTCTCTTCAAAACTAGTTTGAGCCTTTCACATGAGCATTTTGGAGAACCCTCTGAATACACCCCTGAATGCTGTATGATTTAAAAAATGTAAGAATAAGAAGGCTTTTCTGGTGCTCCAAAAATACAAGAAAATGTTTGTGTCTAAATTTATTCAAAACACATAAAAACTTTGTGCGATTCGTCTTATTATTCCTGGCAATAAATTATTGACGCTGTGAAAGATGTATATCCAATTTCATCTTTGAGTTGTTTGAGCAGAATGTAGGAAGGAAGATGACAGATGTGTAAATACATAATTGAAGCCCTTTTTCCACCGAAAAAAAAGTACGACGAGAAGAAGAAATATGAATGAATGAATCCTTTATTATATCTTTCAATTTCTCGCATTATGTTTTCATATATTCAGGGTATTATGTCAAATGAAGGAAGGCGATCATGGCACGTGCTACATGTGATAACGCATTTATCATACGGCAGGTTGCTTAAAACAGGTAATAAATAGTGAAGCAAGTATTGTGAGTACATCCGTACATATTTTTCGTGTGCGGTACGGTATGTGCTGTCATCGTCATTGTCACTTTTTGTCTCATAAATGTGTTTTATTATTTTCGATTTCTTTGTTGGGATCAGTGAAAATTATAAAAGAAGACTAGCGTGAAAGTGAAAATACCTTCTGTTTTGTCATTCAATTGTGACGTCTAAGACAATTTATAGGAAGCAGGTGATATTTTAGAAAAGAATCATTTTATGACTAATTGTGGGGTAGGGGGATCAAGACATCATTGATGAATAAACCCCACTAAGTTCATTTTTATTTCTTTTTGCTTCATCGTCTTGTGAATAATGCCTGCCAGAGTTACTACAGTCATAAACTTTATTTTTCCGATATAACGTCATATTGTGCGATGAGATGATATGAATGTGCGAAAGAGAGAGACAGGTTTTATGTCCATTGCATCATTATTTTATTATATATGTGTCGAATGTTAGTAAAGTGTATCGTTTGTGTGTTAAGGCGCAAATTAAACAATCACAAACATACATTAAATTCCATACAGAAAATTATTACTCATTCCATAGCAATTTTCTCTATCATCATGTAAAGTAAGTTCCTCATGAATGTCTCAATTATTCAAATTTCCTCAATAAAATAAAACCAAACCCTTACAAATTTTATCGCGACACTTTACAGAACAGTTACAACAAATTTTGTCAACACGCTGGGTATTTATGAATATTTTATGAATTAGTATGAAGCACACAAAATTTTCCTAAACAGATTGTACATCTTCTTGTTGCCTTTTCCCAATTTTTTTTTTATTTTCACAGTTTTGTGATTGTGAGCAAAGAAAAGCTATTTTTGAAGTCCGAGCGTCTACATATTGTATGTGTACATTCACAACTCCTGATTTTTCTTTCCTCAAATTTCTGCATGAAAAATTTCTTGGCTAAAACGACTTATTTTTTATGGATATGGTTCACTGATGAGGATAATCTTTAAATCTTGGTCTATTTTCTACTTGGTTTACTTTTGGACAAGGATCTTTGATAAATTTGACTGAGCCCGATTGAAGATAATAGGAATTAAACTTGGCTAACAACTTAAATTCTATACAGCAACCCATGTACTTGCTGTCGTCATAAATAACATGAGAATAAATAAAATTGAAATGCTTGTCAACGATTCTTGACTTTAGTCTGATAAGAATCTTTTTATGTTGACTAGACAGAATTTTGTTTACAATTTCCAAATCTAGTTCCAAATTAGTTTAGCTTTAATTTATAGACTTATTAATTCTGAGCATTAAGAAGAAAATCCAATAGAATCAATCCGATTCAGTAAAATAATCGCATTAATGACTTTATGGCTGGCATTCGAGAATGGAGAGGATTTGAGGCAGATTTACGCAGTATACTGCACCCAAGAAAGTTCATTGGTTTGTGTTAATAATTATTCCATACCTTATTTCTATGATGTAGACTAGAAGTGCAGAGTGATTTATAATCGAAACGCGAAAATAAAAGAATAGATGTACAACTTCTTCTTGTAGCCATTCCCTTCAATTTATTCTTTAATTTCGTATGGTTTAATTTTCTTTCTTTCTTCCAAAACTTTTTTATGCTCCTTTTCTCACTCACAAAGTTCTCTTTCTCACTTTATTTTTTTTTTTTTAATATTTTATTTTATACATAGGAATTCACTTTGTACATTAAGATTATGATAAAATCACTCGTTGAATATTCTTATAGAACAATTAATGTCTATGAACAAACGCGTCCTATTCTTTAATATTCATTCGATTTTCGAGCTGAAAAATGAGTAAAAACTAAAATAAAAAAATTGTCTCACACTGTCTACTACTGCTTTTTTCGACTAACACAATAAAAGTTCACATCAATCCACAGAAATACTCGTATAACGGTTCTGCATGCGATCCTTAATTCTTTTATTATTATCATATGCAGTACCTTATCCTTACTCGAATTTTACAAATGATTCAATAATTAAGTGATCTATCATTTTGCCATTGGTTGAATAAGAATCAAATTAGAATTCAATAGTTATGCTGGATTATGATTATAATGATCAATTGCTGCATGTGCTGAAGTTGAAACCGATTGGGATTATTCAATTGTACCGAAAAAAAATAAATCCACAACACAAGAGGACAAAAAGATTTGGAAATCATTATTTTCATATAAAGGTTAAAAAATTCTCAACATTTATAAGACTCGTCTTTAATTTCATTTAAATTAATTAAATAATGAGCGAGAAAAAAGTGAATGAATCATTTTCAGTAACGAATTTTTACAATTTTAAATTCAAACTGCCATTCAGAGCTATAATGGTTGAAAGCTTTGGGAGATTATACGAGTTTAGTTTTAAGGAAGAAGAAGGAAGAAGAAGGAGTGAAATAAATAAAGTCTGAAGCCTGAAGAAGTAGAAATCATTAGATTATAAACAATGGGAAGTGCAGGAGCATCATCGAAACCGATTCAAGACACGAAATTTGATTTGCAAGCACCAATAAAAACAATGGCAGACGATCAAAATGAATCAAAAAGTAGTAGTAAAAAACCTCTTGAGAATCCAGGAACGATGGAAGAGTTGCATAAGAAATGTAAAGGTAGGTATCGTTTAATTGAATTCTGTGGAAATCCTCGATTAGATATTATGAAATATCTTTAATTACTTCTTAACCTCGAATTTTTGATGTAAATCTAATCATTGATTAAACTTTCTTCTTCTATATGTTTTAGACGTCATGCCAGTGTTCTTTGAAGGTGCAAAACTAATGGTGAACAAAGGACTCAGTAATCATTTTCAGGTCTCCCATACCATCAATTTGTGTTCAGCTAGTCCAAGTGGTTACAGATTTGGTAAAAAAAAAGATAAACATTGACACTGTTTACATCTTTAATTAACATAAAATCTCTCTTTTTAGGAGCGACTTATGTCGGAACCAAGCAATTTTCACCATCGGAAGCTTTTCCCGTCATTCTCGGAGACATTGATCCTTCAGGAAATCTTAATGCTAACATTATCCATCAATTCTCTCCCAATATTCGATGTAAATTCGCATCCCAAGTAAGTATCATCTCATATCCAGATCCAGTGGAGCTATAAATCTAAATCGTATATATCTCTCGAATCAGATCCAACAAAGTAAAATGACAGCGGCACAACTCACTACAGACTATAGAGGACAAGATTTCACGGCATCTATGACTGTTGGAAATCCCAATTTAATAAATAACTCGGGAGTTTTTGTAACTCATTATCTTCAATCTGTAACAAATAAATTAAGCTTAGGTGCTGAGCTTGCGTATCAATATGGACCAGCTGTTCCCGGCGGAGAAATTGCCATTGTTTCTGCTGCTGGACGGTATTATATAGAATTTATTTCCTTTTTGTATTTATGTTTCAATCTGATCCTGTAATTTAATAGATATGGTGACGAAAATTCAGTATGGAGTGGTACATTAGGAATGACAGGAATACATTTATGTTATTATCAGAAAGCAAGTGAACAACTTCAAATTGGCGTAGAGCTAGAAACAAGTTTCCGAATGCAGGAATCGACAGCTACGATTGGCTATCAAGTAGATTTACCCAAAGCAGACTTAGTGTTTCGCGGTATGGCTGATACAAATTGGAATATTGCAGCTGTTTTAGAAAAGAAACTTCAACCCTTACCATTTACATTTGCATTATGTGGATTAATGAATCATCAGAAGAATTCCTTTAGACTTGGTGTGGGTCTAATTATCGGTTAGTCATGAAATTGTAAGAAAGATTTAATCTGTGTAGCAAGATATAACGAGAAATGCACTTTAATCTTGTTATTAAGGCTTAGTAGAGATTTTTTGCTTATATTATAGAGAACTGAAAAATATTATAAATACTTACTAATTGGTTCCAACATACAACACGAAGAACGTTCATTCTTTATGTTTCAAACAGAAATCCGTACGACTTTAAGAGATAAAAATTTTTTTACAAAACATTTTCAAAAATTTTCTTTTGTTTTCCATTGGATACGTTAAAAAACATTTTTATTGGACACTAAGGAACAGTGAATTTATGTCTTTTCATGTAAGATTTTTAACTGAAATTTTTTGAATTCGGACAGTTCTGAAGCAAGTTTCAAGATTTTTGAATTTGAATAGTTTCTAACGGATAAATTTTGAATTCGGACGGTTTTGTAGTCAACTTCAGAGATTTTGGATTTGAAAAATAAAACTTCGTTAAATTTTTAAATATGATTAATATGAGTTTTTCTTTAATCTTTAACAAACTGCTGCAATATAAAGGAAGAATAGGTTTTAATTCTGCAAAAAAAAAACTTGAATTTGTATGAAAAGATATGAATTTATTGGTAAAGAACTTGACTTTTACTGTGGACAAATTAAATTAATCCTTTTTTGATGCATTTAAAAAACTACTGAGTGGGAATTTATTCTTCCCAGGAATAGGAAAACAATGTTAGCCAAAAACCAAATTTTATTCTCCAAACAGAAGAATTTTTTTGTGCATTCGAACACGGTGCATAAAAAAAGCAGCAAACAAAGTCAGATTGTGTAATAAAACAAAATGCTACGATAATACAAACAAACAAAAAAATGTTATGTAAAAAAGAGAGTAAAAGAAAAAATAATAAAAAATGTTTGGAAAAATTAATGAAAAAAAAAGAACTAGAAATATAGCAAGAGAAGAGACGTTTTCAAATGCAAACAGTGTCTGATGATGAATATTCATGACTTTTCAGCACACATAATTCTTGTTTTATTTCACCAATATAATTTTTTTTACTCTGTCGCAACCTCCATTCCTTTCCACTAATCCTCACAATTATCCATTCGTATCATACAACATATAAAGATAAACAACAATAGGTACACACGATTTTTTTATATGTTTCTTTTTTTGCATACAAAAAGAATGCTTTATGATTCATTCAATATTGGCCAATTAATTTCATGTTTTACATAATTTTTTTATATATATATTTTTTCTTATAGAACTACATTTTCGTGGTCATGCTTACACAATTTCCCTTGTGTAAATTAAAATTTTATGTATATCGATTTTTTTTTTTTATTCAATTTTGTCCATTTCATTTTGTTTTTATCTAGATAATAAAATTTTCAGCACCTTTTCTTGTTTAAAACATTTAAAAACTTAATAATGTTGACCAAAAGACATGATGTTGATAATTTCTGTTCTTTGACACATAATTTTATTTAAAGAATTCAACTAAGAATGTGAAAACTAGAGAAATGAGATGGAAAAAGGTGAAAAATTCTTCCATGTGCATTACTCATGAGGTTTTGAGTTATTTGTGATATTTCTGTAATTTTATCGTATATATTGCTTTAAGTTTTCTGATGAAAAATGATTGTCTTTTTATAAAAATTAACGAATATTTAAAATCCAAAAATTAACGAACTTTTAAGATTCAAAAATTAAAGTTCAAAATTTGAACCTTGAAAATTTGAAAAAAATCTTCAAACTGAATTGTTCATGTAAAACCAAATCTACGTCCATTGAAAGCAAATGTTGCATTAAGTAACATCAGTGAAGGTTAGATTATCGCTACGAGTCTCATGGAGAGTTCATAAAAGTAAGCAATAACATAAAACAAGATCGAAATTTCCAGACAAGGAAAAATGCGAAAACAAAGAAAAATCAAATTGCTTGAGAAAATCTCATTTAGTCTTCAATTTGTTTGTCTACAGGGCAATTCTTTGGATGACTTTCGGAAAATTTTCAGCAAAAAATCGAAATTTTAGGGGTCGTTCACTTATTACGTTACGCAAAAAACGACTTTTTTCACCCCCCCCCCCTTGTTACAACTCACAACCCCCCCCCCCCCCCCTTGTTACAACTCACAACCCCCCCCCCCCCCCCCCCTGAACGTTCATAATTTATTTTATCATTAAAAAGGTGAAAAATTTAAAAAAAAGTTTTTGGTGTGAATTTGTAAACAAATTTTTTTCATTTTGAACGTTACATACTTCTTGACCCCCCCCCCCCTATGTTACAATTTTTCAAACCCCTCCTCCCCCCTAAAATGCGAACGAAATAAGTGAACGGCCCCTTATTGATTTTTCCCATCAGAGACACTGATTTTATGATTCTTATCGATGTAAAAATTTAAAATGTACACTACTTTTGACATCATATCTACTCTGATCGCTGTATTATTTAAGTTATTTGGATTCTTTAGTCAATAACTCGATGACAGAAATCGGAATTTTCAATTTTCATCAACAGGCAAAAATCTTTAATTAGGTTGCTTTTCCGTGTGTTTTAAGTCATTAATTAATGAAATATTTCAATTCTTTGAAAAATTTCCTTGTGTCATCGAGTTATAAAAAAGCTTTTTTTGTCTTAATCCTTGAAAAAATACAAAATTTTCAAACATATTTTTTCAATTTCTCACTTAATTTGGATGAGTTGTAAGATTTCAATAGATCACTTGTAAAGATTTAATGATCTACGAAAGTTCTGGCGTATTATTCCTTCGTAGTAATATGAAATTAATGAAAACATTTTATTGACACAAAACTCATTGACATTGGATTATGAAAGCTCATTTTTTTCAAATTCCACTCATCCAAAGAATTGCCCTACAGTGAATTGACTCGTCAAGTGTTATTAAAGAATACTGAGAGACTAATGAAGAGACTGCTTTAAGAACATAATTTATTTACGAACTAGAATCATAAATTAATGAGCTCAGAATGAGAAAATAACTGGTTGATTTTGACTTTTGACTTGGAAAATCCTACATGAAGTAATCTGTTGTTTAATTTTCACTGTATTAACCACAAAAGACCAATTGAAAATTATCAGTTCAGTTTAAAATTCACAGTAAAGGAATCAAAGAGCTTTAAAAGCTCATCATAATTACATTGAATGCTGATCCCAATACAATCACTAAAACCACTTAATGCTATCTTTTCGGTAATTAAAACTGCGGTAAAAATAATCTCTGGAATAATTGCTTATATGAGGGCGATTCTCCAGATAGGTTGAATTTTTAAAAACAGAACTGTAATTCCACTGCTACTTGAAATTTTTAAATTTTTGAAATACGTTGGGAAAAATGTAAACAAAGACTTGTTTACAAAAATAAAATTTTGTTTTAATTTATAAAAATCATTTTTTTTATATGTTTTAATTAAACAAAAGGTAATTAATAATTAATATTGCACTCAATCATCATCGTTTCTTTTAAAAATATTCCATTTAAATTTATAACGTATTTGAAAAATTTGAATCTCACAAATTAGTTTCAAGCGCTTTAAAAATTACTCGAAGACAAAATTTTCATCAAAAGAATTGAATTTTCTTGTGAAATTTGTATTAAGCTTAATAAAACTGTTGTCATGTATGATAAAAAAGTTCGTTTTCTATCGATTGGTATTTATATCATATGTCAAAGAATAGTTTTTAATACTTAATTTTTGATTATAAAAATCCAAATTCCATATTTTGTCTTCGAGAAATCGTCCGAAGAATCGAAATATTTCCTTAATTAGAGTATATTGAAAGCATTTAATTATACAGATTTGTAGAGTTTAAAAAGTTGTACAATATTAATTTGTCTTTCGAGGCTCTCTAATGGAAAAAAATTATAAAAAATTCATTTTAGTGGTGGTTTTTTGAAAATTTTTATCTGGAGAATCACCCATGAACCAGTCATAATGAAAATCTCTTAATGCGAATTTCTCAGAAAGTATCTCGTCATCAAAACCCCAATTGAATAGCACTTAATGTACGAACAACAACAAGATATATAATCTGTAAAGAGGTAGAAAATCAAATTAACAATAATTAGAGTAAGATGGAATATTTACAAATTGTGTCACAAGTTCCAACTACTTTAGTAATTTAATAAAAGAAGGCAAAAGAATTTTAATCTATTGCTTACTATTATGCTTTCAAAAATAATAAATTTCCCACTCAATAGGAATAATTTGATGAAAAACTTTGGAATTTTGATGAGGGTTTTAAAAATTTTAACATAATAGCAAATATTTTCCAAAGTTCAGACTTTCTTTTTGTGATTCAATTTATATTTTTTATTTATCAAATTTTTGTATCTCCAAGGAATCATTTTCCTTCTTATTTCTAATCTTTCCTATCTATTGGCTCCGAAAAAAAGAAGATTTTATTCATTATTTGCCTCATCTGCATTGTTCATCAAGTTTGTCTGGAGTGACACAATCCATAAATGTCACATCTAGATTAAGAGATTGACAAAATTGCTCTTAAAATGTTAACATGTCTTTTATATCAAATATACATTAATACTATAATAATAATAATATTCGATGATAAGTAGGAGGAATAATCGTCAACAATGGAAATAGAATAGATCATATTAGGGGAAGAGTGCGTTGAGGCGAGGAAATTATTATTGATTGATATTCAGATTATTATTGAATTGTGGTTTGGTGAGTTTTTGAGGTTTCAACAAATTCACCATTTTTGGAGATTATTTCAACAAATTCACCGTTTTTCGTATGAAATTTCAACAAATTCACCAAAGAGGCCGTACACTTATTACGTTACGCAAAAAAACGACTTTTTCACCCGTGGGGGGGGGGGGGGGGTGAAAAAACAATATGTTACAACTCACAACCCCCCCCCTGAACGTTCATAATTTATTTTATTTTGATAATTTTTCATAAATCATTAAAAAGGTGGAAAATTTAAAAAAATGTTTTTGGTGTGAATTTGTAAACAAATTTTTTTCGTGAACCTTCTTGACACCCCCCCCCCTTTGTTACATTTTGTTACAACTCACAACCCAACCCCCCCCCCCCCCCTGAACGTTCATAATTTATTTTATTTTGATAATTTTTCATAAATTATTAAAAAGGTGGAAAATTTAAAAAAATGTTTTTGGTGTGAATTTGTAAACAAATTTTTTTCGTGAACCTTTTTTCAAAAGACGAAGAACGTTACATACTTCTTGACACCCCCCCCCCCCCTCCTTATGTTACATTTTGTTACAATTTTTCAAACCCCCCCTCCCCCGTAAAATGCGAACGTAATAAGTGAACGGCCCCAAATCTGCATCGAATTGTTGGAAAATTCACCAAATCTGAATAAGTTTCCAGTAAATTCACCAAGTTCACCAAACTTTAACAATTTACAGAAATATTTCACCGAATTTGTTTTCAAAACAGTAAATATTGACCAAAAACAAGTTAAACTTCACCTCAATGCCTCCACACCGTGTTAATAGTAGAAAAATATTGAGCAAGGAGAAGGAAACGAGAATGAGAATCATCTAAATCATTCATAAATCATCGATTTTCGTCTGACGAAAAGAGAGATGATGACCAGTTTTTATTTATTCATATTAAAAAAGAGTTGTATAAATATAAATGTATAATGTATTGTTATTATTATAATGTATATCTAGGACGTTTCCATTCTAAATTCATCCTTATTTCCTTTTCATCTCCATTTATTCTTCCCACTAATACTATAGCGTGCTTTGGTTTTCTAGAGAATTATTATTAAACTTCGTTTCCGCAATTAATGCATTCGTATTATTACTATTATTATTATTATTATGACTAGAATTATTATTGGCACTATTTGCATCATAAACATGTGCAATCATCTCATGTTGATGATGATGGTGTGGATGATAATTATGGCGAAAAACATTTAAATTACATTGTGATGATGCTTTAATATTTTTACTTAAATCATATTGACTCAACTGATAACGCCATAAAATCTCATTATGATTTTGCTGGTCATTTTGCTGTTGATTCTTAAATGTGGTTAGAATTACGGGTGCATTCTTATGGAACAAATGTAAGCATGACGATGCTTTCGTTTTCAATTCGATTGTACAATGATGTGGAATATGATGATTACAAGGTGAATCATTGTTGATCTTCTTGAAACTTCTCCGTAGAGAGCTATTGCGACATAAACACTTTTCGTCATTCCTCATCTTTCTCAATGAATTATGATAGGCATTGAGGGGTGATGTTGATGAAAGGGCTCGTGTGATGATGTTGGCATTTTGATTGTTTGTCGATGTCACCATAGACGAACCTGTGTGAATGGGTTGTGGAATACAAAAGGTAAAGATAAAAAACATTTTTATTGCGGTTTGGACAGTTTTCTGTTCTTTGTAATTAACATTTATTTTTCCGTATTTCCTCTGGTTTTTGCTTTCTTCTGAACTAAAATAATGAGCAGTTAATAGCATGAAAGTTAAGTGATTGAAGTACGATGACATGAACTGTCCAATCACTTTGAAACTTTGCGAGAATTAAATCTACATTACGTCCAATTGCGTCCACTTAAAAAAATAATTGAGTCCTACTTCCTGTGGCTGGATGTAGCAGGTTCCATTTTTGAGTATTATGCCGTCGCACCTCAGGTTTTAAAACGGCATCATTTTTAAATATGTATACTTATGAATTAGTATTATGTAGGATCAAATTTCTAATCTTCAAATCTAGGTTTCAAATAAACTAAGGCTCTCGTTTCGATCTTCTGTAGGCGTGACGTGATACTTTTCAGGTCCGTTCTAACAATATTCCATTCGTGGGAAATCTTGTAGCTCTCGTTCCTATTTCTCCCGCTACACTTCAAGTTCCTGACCCGTTCCTTAATCCAACGTTGCCCAAATGCCCAATTATGGCTTGATCTCCTACATTAAGCAGTCGAAGTATCTAAACTTCCGAAAAAGAACAAATTTGGAAACGGCTGGATTCGAAACGACGACCTTCGAGTTACCATCCCAAATTTGAGCCAAGCGCCTTACCTATTCGACCAGCAAGGCACTTAACTGCTTATTGCCATTAGACATATTATGGATCGAAATTGATCTCCTAATTACGTTCAATTGCGTTCTGCAAAAATTTTTGCAAATGGACATACCAGACATAAGAAAATTCAGCCCTTTCAAAAAGAATAATACTATACATCATGTATATCAAATTACTTCAACTTTTTATCAGCATTTCAAATCTTTAATGCATTAATGCACTTTCAAGCAACACGATTCTTAAAAGACGAAAGCTCACTTACACAAACATCATGCATACATAAACCTGGCATAATCCGAGGGTATATTAAGTCGCATTCATAATTTCTCTGACCCCTTAAAAGCGTTACGCATTAATTGAACAAACAAATGTCAATTTTATTTTCGATTGAACAGAGTTTGAATTTCTAGAGTTCCTCTACTTTTGTCCAAAACAATCAATTGGATGCAAATCGATTGTAATAGCTCAACAGCTTCCCGTCATTCTCAACCAAAAATGAAAACACAAATCAAGGCTTAACCTTTCAGTTGGGGTTCAAGTTCTCTTAATTTCCAAAACAAAATCTGTTAAGCGTTACAAGCAATCAACAGATGTTGTTCTGAAAAAAAATTTTTTGGGCTCAACACCATAAAGAACGACTGAGTTATGACTTGAGGAAAAAAATACATGATGTAATAAAATTAACAGTCTGCTCTCTTGAGGAAGGTCGCCGTTTATTGTCATTTTGGAGCCAATGCCTTAAATGACATCTTTACATTTGTTGTCTGGGAGATAATTTAGTGATTATTCGACTTCACTTATTGAAATTAATGGGGATCTATTGAAGATGTGTAAGGCTTGGGGTCTTTGGCTGCACTTTCTGGACTGACAGGAGACATCAATTGATCTTTACTATAATATAATTGGTGTAGATATGAAATTTTGTGAACATCATCGCAGTTGTCTTTGAAATATTGTGAAATTGAATTAAGTTTTTTGCTGTAATTGAACTTGTGATTAAAATAGACATAAAACATAGCACTGGTGAGTAAGAACTTTTAAATACACCTTAAATTCCGTCCGCACCCATTATTATTATTGATAAGCTTGCAATCATACATAATATATGATGTTGTTGGGAAAATTTATCGATTATTTTCTCCCGTTTTTCAACCGTACAAAAATAAAATAAAAATTATTTTATGCACATGATGTCACATTTTGTGCAAAAGCATTCGAGCAGCAAAAAAAAGGAGAAAAATTTATTGCTTAAAACTTTAGTTCATTATCGAACGAGAGGAATTGAAAAAGTAAGAAGAATAAGACGGAAAAATATATAAAAAAAATTCTGCATCATCACCTGATCCAGGACTTTGTTGTCGCTATGAATTCTGATCAACTTCATACTTTTTTAACTCCATCATTGGCAAAGCTACATTCTGATACTGAATCTCTTGCTATTATCGAAAGAAAGGAAAATCAAGTGTAATAATAATAAGAGGAGAAGTTAGATTGAAGGCAAAAAGGTTAGATTTTTTTTTTTGTTATGGCTTGTTGTTGTTGTTGATGATGATGATGGTGTAAATGAAAGTAGAACGGATAGATGAATAGATGGACGATGAAAAAAAATGTATATGTGATATATGATGATAAGTAAAAATGAAGGAGTATTGAGAGTCATAAAAAAATCAAATGTTAAGTCATGTGAAATTACCCCAAAATGATGTGGCAAGGCAAAGGATGATGGAACATAAGTATTTTGCCCAGCTGGACTGCATTTAACACAATTACGCTTTAATGCTGGTCTTTGCCTCGACCCATGACATCGTACTGCAAATCTAAGCTCCTCAGCCATTTCAGAACACAATGATTGACGATCATTTTGAGCATTTTTCTTTGAGTTCCAACAAAATTCCAAGATTGCAACCAAAATAGCGAAGGCTAAGCCACAAAGTAACACCACAAACACTCCGCCTATGTTGTCCACGCCTGATGTAATTATGTAAAATAGATGGATGGAAAATGGCCAATAAAAGTCACAGCGCGTGTTGAAAAAAGGAGGAAAGAAGAGAATGAAAATGGTCCTAAATGAATTCTCCAATAGACTAGTCAGTTCATTACGTACCCAAAGCATTTGCCTTTGATTCTTTATTCTTCTCATCACGACTACAAATTTCTCCCGTATTTTTCCACCATTTGTCATAAAGTATTTGAATTGTTCCCTTCTCCTGAAGCTCAAGTATGGCTAATGAAATTTTATCTCTCCACGGACTTCCTTTTGGCAAAGCGACACCATAGCCTTAACGGATGTTAGGTAGCATTTTTTATAGACAGAAAAATAAGAGAATTTTTATATGTGGCAATGAAAAATAATCATAGAGGAGTCAAATCACAGCATTCCAATCCTCCTTTTTGCTATTTTTATGATTATTATTATTAGCATTGCTTCTCCTCCTCCTCTTAATTATAGAGCAATTTTCATAATACTCATTCAGACAGGAAGGAATGAAAAATTGATAAAACATGGTTAATGAACCAATTTTTTTTTTTGGGCTATCCATAAATTTTGCTTACCTTTGGAATCCAATAATCCTTTATTCAGCATCACAAAACGTAGAAATGGAAATAAAGTATAAAATGAGTTTGACTAGTGAATACATAAGTGAGGAAGGAAGGAATGGTTTTCTTATTTTTTTTTTCGGGTATTGAGGGTTGAATAATGTTAGTAACTAAGTTGAGTTGTTGACCATTTTAGAAGATAAGATACACATTACTGTTTATAGAGGATAATCAATACTTTTCTCTTTAAATAGCTCTTTAACATTTTCTTCTCTTTCTTAATAATTTCGCTAAGCATGTCGACGAGCAGCTGGAAAATCCTTTTCTCACTTCATAGACAGCTCGTTTTCGTAATATTTTCACTTGCTTTAACACTCTGCAAAAATACTTTAATTGCCACATTAAGTAAATGTTTTCATGCTAGCATTCATTTTGGTTCTTTGCTGAAAAACAGATTCAATTCTTAGAAATGATTTTATAAACTTTTTGTTGGCTACGGAGGAATAATTATGAAAGGTTTTTTTTATTTATTAGTTGATGGAAGTTCCTACTTTTTGCTATGTTTTTTAAAGCCTTACAATAACTTTGTATTTAAAGCTGAATGTTTTTTAAATCAATATTTACATTTGAATCTTGTTCTGCAAGACTCATTTTGAACTATTGAAGTTTTGGTAGTTTTTATCATGGCAGGGACCAGTGTTGCAAATGTAGATGTATACACTAGATGAAGAATGTAGATTCTTCAATAGTTTTTGTCTAGCTAAGAAACTTTCTTCATAGAGATCGATTCTATATGAAGATAGAAAATCTAATCTACATAAAGATTCTGTCTACATAAAGATTCGATGTAGATGTCTACAATTCTACATTTTTTCCAGGTCTACATCAGAGAAGAATGTAGAATTGTAGACATCTACATCGAATCTTTATGTAGACAGAATCTTTGTGTAGATTAGATTTTCTATCTTCATGTAGAATCGATCTTTATGAAGAAATTTCTGTCTCAGAATTTATCTGATCCAGACAAATAGCCAGAACTTTTGTTTATGTCGCTTTACTTTTATTCGAGCGATTTGACTCCATTTGTGAAGATATAATGAAATTTACGCCTTTTTTGTATCGCTTGGGTTAGTTTTGTTTTGAATTTAGTGATATATGAAGGATTAAGCTACAAATTAAAGCTATGAAATAATTTTAAAAACTTTCTTGTGGTAGCTAAGGGTTCTGACTCTTCTCTTAGACTTCCTGGCTACATCAATTGCCATTTTCTATAAACCAAGGCATTAACACTCGAGTGCCAATTTTCTTTTTTTATTCTTTCCTCTAATGATATCCTTGAAGTGCTCATGTTAGGAAATGTAAGGATTTTTTTGGATTAATCTTGAGTGTTAATGCCTTGCAATAAACCCACACGAATGAATAATAATTCTAAAATCATTTATAATCATTGATCTACAGACAGTCAAATACAAATTCTTCACAATCATGCAGCTGCATTAATGAGCAATCTGTGTATTTAAAGATTACCAGACATGTAAATAAATAAACGATAGTAAACTCCGTCTCAGATACTGGAAGCTTAAAACGCTTCATCATGACATTAGTTGAAGAGAAGAGAGACTGATAATAATAATGCATGAGCAACTATATAAAACTTTTAGTCTATGTATATTTAGAAAGCTTTTAACATACTTTATTTTCAAAGGATTTGTTAAGCATTTTGTTCATCAAAACGAAATTTAATTTTAATCCTTTGATGTGAAATATTCATTCTTTCATAAACTATATTTTGTTCATTAATTTGTGAGTTGTCTGAGATTTTGCAACAGTATGATAAAGTATATATAATACATCCTTAGTGACCAAAGGCGATAATGGTTGGCATGGAAATTTAAAGTTAAATTTAAAGCTGCAAATGTGTAATAATTTAGTTTTGAAGTGGCTTGTAGTGTTTCTTGGTCAGAGACAAGTCACTAGACATGCTAATTACTTTTTTGCATAATACTAACTTAATTTGGTCTTGCAATGAACATTGTCTTGTATATTGGTCACTCGATTTTACTAACATCAATTATCTAAAGCTCTGATCCAGAAAATGTGTATAAACACTTTATAGAACAATACTGACACCACTAATGAAAAAAACGGCAACAATTAACTTAAAGAAAACTTATGGCAACAAGCAATGGTTAAATGAAAACCTGCTTGAATCAAGTATTTTTTCATTCTTATCACGATAGTAGACGACTGACCGCAGGACATCTGCGAATGTTCTCAATAGTTGTTTTTCCTTTTTATTCGATTATGCTCTTGCGAATGCCGTGCAAGAACTATGAAAAAGTTAGATCCGCAATATGCAATCACAAGTTATTTAAGGTCACTAATGTTTGTGTTTGAATATTGAAGTGCAAAAGTTTAATTAAAAAATTTTAATTGACTTCATGTAGGTATTTAATTAAAGCTACAGTTATTGCAAATGACAGAGAAATAAATGTCAAGTCATTCTTAACGCACGAAAAGTGTCAATTTTATATTAAGCAAGTCAGTGCATTAAAGAGCTCAATATGATTAAGATCCCCAGAGAGATGAAAAGAAAGCCATAAAAAATGCGAATGAGAGAAAAGTAAAGGGGCAATAACAATTCGGAAAACTTTATTAAGTTCATTAAGGGAGGTTTGTAGATGCTAAATTTCCAGCACTCAACTTGTAATACAATATGTGAGAAATAAAAAAAGATTATAGTATGTTATGCATAGGAGAAGGAAATGAAGAATATTACCGCCAATTTGTGTTAAATTGCAATCACGTTGTACGGCATAGTCGAGCATCGTACTTTCCATGAGAAACGCATAATTTCCTTCAAGTACTCGTTTTATTCCATCCTCATATGTCTTGACGAAAACTGATGGCTTTTTACTCTGCGTGCATTTATAGGAGAGATATAAAGTTATTAGGCAATATGTTTTTTTTTTCACAATTTTTATTAACAGTGAAAGTCACGTTGGGCTGTTTAGAGTCAGAGTTTGGAAAAGGGTTATACTTTTGGTCAAATCCCATCCAAATCCACTCAATGTCAACTCAACAACCCAAACATAAATGAATGATGATTCAAACTTACCTCCATAAACCTCCACATTTTCTGATAAATTCCTATTTTTGAATCCTATCGGTACGAAAGTCAGCAAGCAAGAATGAAGAAAGGAAGAGAAAAGTAGAAAAGTGAAATAAAAATGTGTAAAATGAACGACAGTGGGAATGTTAAATGTAGTGTGATATGAATGAATCATGTGTCATTGGTACAAGGAGTGAAAGCATTCAGAATGTCTGATAACAAGGAAAGGAATGGTAAAAAACTTACACGAAAGAATGTCATTGTTGAGCCACCTTCAAGAGTCCCAAACGAAATGTCTTGCTTATTTTCAGCAAGGTCGGCAGCATTTTCAATTGGTGTTATCATTCGTTCGACAGTAAGGAAAGCTGCTAAATTGGCAGTGTATGATGAGATTATGATCAATGTAAAGAACCACCAGATAGATCCCACTATTCGGGTTGATGTTGCCTGTACATGCACACACATAGACACATACAATTCAGTCCGTATGTTAGACATAAAGAATTGTGCACGCAGCAAATTTCCAACGATTTTTGTTATATCGTAAAACAACGTTTGTAGAAAAATAATATTTTTTTTTTCGCACATTGACACACGTACCACAGCAGCGATGTGGTAGCATCATCATCAGTAGCATTTTGTTAGATTGTTAAAGTGAAAAAGATGGAAGTACGATAAATAAAATAAAATAAAAAAGAAGAAAGACAAAAGAGAGAGTAAGGAATGAGAGATAAATGTGATGAGTCGTAAAATTCACCATATAGCAACCATGAAGCAATAAAGGTTATACTGAGAAAAAAGGCAGCATGTAATGTTCAGTATATCTATATGCTCGAGTAGTCAATATAACAGCCTTTAAATTAATTAGGGTTAAAAGCAAGGCGTGGACACTCAAAAATATGCTGGGATTATTCGGGATTATTGGGATTATTGGGATTATTGGGATTATTTGGGATTATTGGGATTATTGGGATTATTTGGGATTATTTGGGATTATTGGGATTATTGGAAAAAAAATTATTCAAATATTTTGAATTTTTTGAGGAAATGAACTGTAAGAAATATGTTATTTGAAGCCATTGTGACTTGTAAAGTTTAAACAATGTGAAAATATATCATTTTGAAGTGTTTGTTGATTATTAAAATATAAATTTGATCATATATAATAATTTTCATAGAATTTTGACTAATTTATTTAAACAATCGGTTTTTGGAAATGGATTAGACATTTCCTCAGCGTTTTTAGTTGTAGTTAAGTAATGTCCATATTAAAACATCAGTCTAAGGAAAGTTTTTGGCTTTATTCTTATTTTTTGGGGGTTTAATGAGCTACTGTACTAAGTTTTTCAGACAAAAACTTCACTTTGAGGAATCTTAAGGTTATTTTGGTAGATTTCTCATAAAAAGTATGTTATAAGTTATTATATAATTATTTGTTAAAGTTTTGTTTTTATTAAAATGTCCAGTATTTTCCCAAACAAGTTCTACAAAATGTACCATGTTTTCGATATTATATACATACTACCAGAGCTCGAAGTTGATAGGGTTCGAGTCGACTCGACTTAAAAAGATTAAAATTTCGATTTTAAGCATGCGAAAATATTTAAGCCGGTTAACTTTCTTTTTGTTCTTTCTCTTCCTGAGAAATATATTATTGAATATAATTTTCTCAATTCATTGAACATAATTCTATTTTTAAGATCATTTTTAAAAAATCAATAGTGTTGTATGTACTAAGTAAATTTTAGGTTTTTACCACGTTTTTTTAACCTTCACAGTTAAATATATTCAATATAGAATTTTCCTAAGTCATGTCCTTTTTCAAAATGGTGGCTGGTTTTTTTACCTTAGGTCTGAAACTTTTTTAAACAATAACAATGATCTTATTTATCCACTAAAATAAGTCCTGCTGATCTAGATTCAGTTCAACTCAATGATGTTTCCAAATCTTATTACGTTAATACGAGTATGATATCCCGTAATCAATTACGGGCATACTTTAGTACTTTCTGTTAAGTATAGTTTTGTTTTTGGATCTTTTAATATTATAAAGATAGTAGACACACAATTATTCTTTCTCAAAATTCCGGGATCGAGATCGAGATTTAAATATTTTGGTCAGCGTTTACTGATACAACTACGATTAAAAATCTGTAAAAGTTTCAGTAAGATTCATTGAGTATAACAAAAGATAAAGTCAAAAATGTAAAAATTTAAAATAAGCTCGCCCCTTTTTTGGTGTGGAAATCCAACGTTATATAACATTGGAAATGGTATTAAGAAAACTTTAAATTATAAAGTTTTATAGTTTTTGATTATTCTATAAAGCTGAAGCACTAGATCTCAAAAACTTTTTTTTTTAAAAAGTCCCTAATTTTTCCCCATATAAACTTGTAATCAGGATTTTCAATTTCGATCTCGATGGCCCGATCCCGGGATTCATCGGGACCGGGAAATGTTGACAGTAAATTGAAGATTTAACAAAGTTAGATTTGGTATTCACTGGATCTTATTATTTCTAAATGCATCGTTTTAAGTGTTTATTCCAGAGATAGAAGCCGATTTTTTCGGCTTAACTCAATTTTTGATTTTTTTTATAGAAAAATCGGTTAACTTGAAATTCTGGGCTTACTATAACTACATGCTGACAAAAAAAATCATAGTAAAGCATGTAAAATTCAATTTAAATAATTGAAATGGGCGCTAAATGGCTTTTTTCTATCAAAAAAGTCGAAAAAATTGAGTTAAACTGAAAAATCCGGCTTCGATTTCTGGTTTATCCTCATAAAAGCCAAAAAGTCAATAAATTAACCATAGCTGTCATTATCAGCGAGGACGCTCCTAGCTTTACTAGATTTGTCGAATCAAAAACCTAGTTTGAAGAATTTTTTTTGAGGAAATATGTATCGTTTGATTGATTTTCGGGCTAATACACGATTATTTTGATTAGAACGCATAGTAAATCAATAAAATATAGCATTTAAAAGACATTTTAAATTGATTTTTGTAAATTTTTGACTAGTGCACTAGATCTAGTTGGTAAAAAAATCACTTTTTGACGTTTTAAGGCTAGTTCATTCACTTTAGCTAATTTTTAAATTAATATTCTGAACTTAAAATGTATCCAAAGATTTTTGGGGACATTTCTTTTCAATACTAGTCAAAATTTTAACATTTAATAAATTTTAAATTTGAAAAATTTTAAAATTATTTTAATAATCCCAATAATCCCAAACCTGGGATTATTGGGATTATTTGGGATTATTGGGATTATTTGGGATTATTGGGATTATTGGGATTATTTGGGATTATTTGGGATTATTGGGATTAATCCCAGTGTCCACGCCTTGGTTAAAAGGATGGAGATGGGAGGGAGGCAGATAGTAGACAGAGAAAGAGAGAGACAGTTTTCGAGTGCTGTTCAGTAGAATCAAGACTATATACATTTAGGTAGCAATAAACACACAGAGGAAAGTGATATATCTATAAACATAACATGATGATATGGGTGGATTGCTGTTTTCCGTACGTAGCCATCTACACTTCTATTTGATTTAACAATTAAATTATGAAAGTATAAATCTTTTATCCTAACAACAAAGCATTAACACAGCAATATACAGGAGCAATAACAAACAATTGGTATGATATAATCAGTAGAACGTGTTGGAAATTTCAAAATAAAAAAAAAGAATGAAGAAAATAAAACCTTTGGATATAGATCCGATGTTGATTGCATGAGCGTTCCTAAAGTCCATGCAAAAGAATTCTTCAATGAAAAATTATTTACGTAGCTTATCAATTCAATATTTTGTATCTCATCAAGAGTCGTAAACGATAGATCTTGTGATTCATTGTTGTCATCCAAGCAAAATTCATTTTCGCCATATCCATTTTCATCGTCAGAGTCAACTTCTAAGCCATTGTTGTAGTATTCTTCATCTACATATCCAATCAAGCCATCGTCATCTATATCTAAATTTTCATCAAAATGCTTGTTTGATGACCCAATTCCATTGTTGTATTGCTGCTTATACTCATTCTTCCTGCCTTGCCTTTTCTTTATGATTCTCTTCCTCATTCCTTCACTTCTATTATTGCTGTTATTTGAGTTTTTCTTCTGTTGATTTTGCCTTTGCTTCTGATGTTGCTTCTGCTGCTGCTGCTTTTCTTCATGCCGTTGATTTCGATGATTTTGCCGCCTTGCGTTAAGTAGAAAATTTTGACGATATTCCATGTTCATCCAAATGCTTTCTAAATCGTTTTGCTCGTTCATTACGCACATATTTTTGAAATATTGCTGATGTAACTCCGGAGTGCTTATGCTGTAATTTTCACAACAATTTCCTTCATCTACTCCTTCCTCCTCAATTTTATTTTCTTCTTCTTTTTCTTTCAAATTCCCATTGACTTCAACATTTTCATCACCATCGTGATCCATTGCACAACAATTTTCATTTATTATTGTAGTTATTTCATCTTCACGAATTGTCATCAAGTCTTCATGCCCATCAAAGGAATTCAATGAATGATGATGATGGAATTCAATGTCATTTATTTCGTCATCATCCTCATTCTTATAATGGCTACACACAGATGCTTTTTTCCACTCCAATGGTGATATCTGAGCGACAATGTACATTGCAAAGGACACAATTATGTAAGATATAGCCTGGTTCATAAACAAAATGAAAAAGAGAAATGAAAATCATAAAAGAAGAAAGAGTTTGGGTGCTGCTTTTATTTTTGTTGTTTTTGTGGAATGGATTAAAAACAGTTGTCGTAATTTTTATTATTACAATAATCATCACGAGTCTCCTTTTTTTGTGTCCCCATTGTCGACTCTTTTGTCATTTTTTTTTGCTTCTCTGTTGACTACCACGATGATTTGTGTAACAACGGCACCATGGTAATTTTCATGCCATATTTCAACTGTACAGTTTAAGTTCTGATTGATGAGATTTCAAGGAAAATGTTCAGATAACTTTTTGTGAGGATTTAAACTTTCAAATTGGACTTTCAATTTCGCGAATTGGGAATGCCATAAGATACACACAAAGGGTCGTTCGTAAATGACGTCTTTCACAAATTGAAATTTTTTACACTCCTCCGAGATGAATTTCCTTTATAAATGTCACGCAACATTAGACTCTTAAAATTGAGCCCTAATTTATGAACAAACCCCATATCTCATCTAGTATTAAACCATTGAAGGAAACTGACCCTTGAGATGCCACATGATAAATAATTTCAGCAATTGCTTAAAAAAAATCATTACAAATTTTTGTGTCTCTTATTCAAAGCCTATCGTCGCCATACATAATAAAAGTTGCTGTGCTTCACTGCTGTCAGTAAAACATAAAGTTTCAAATTTTCCAAACATTTTCCTCCAAACCCTCCAATCAGTGTGCGTAAAATTAATGAGAATGTATCATTTTCCGACTACTAACCATAGAAATCCATATCGACCACGCTAATGGATTCAAGAATGAAAACGAACGATTTTCCGGCCGCACATTAGACTTGTGGTTGTGATGAAAAAGAAAATTAAAATGATAATTTCATTATTAATTTTTATTATTGTAATTTTTACAAAAAAAAAACTTTTTCTTCTTGTTCTCTATCATCATCATCATCCACTGAGCTCTTATAAACGAATAAAGGAAATGAAGGCAAAAAAATATTTTTATTGTTATTATGTACACTTGCTGTTAAAAGGCTACATAATTTAAATTCATATAGAAATGTAGATGACTATCAGAGGAAAAGATTCCTTTTTCCATATTTTTGACTCCATGAATGAGCGGGAGCAGGCAGCGAATGGAAGAGTTTTGTATGCAAACAACACACGAACAAAAAAAAAAGGCGAATCAAAAAGATTAAAAACCATAACAGCAACAGCTGTTGTGTTGCTGCATACTTTAGTCATTAAGGATCGGATCTGTTGTGGATAAAAAAAATATAAACATAAACTATCTGTGTGCTTATAAACTCCCAAACGTATACACAAACTATCTCTCTATCTGCCCACATTTTTTTGTTTCGCTTGCACATGTAGAAAGCTTCATAAAACAGTGCTTTATTGTTGCTAAAGGAAAAGCTTTTAAATACATAATACTTCACTCATTCATACCTTTGGATTCAAGCCACTTGATTGTCTGTTATTTAACGAGTTAAGAGGGAAAAAAGTGAGAGTTAAAATACAAGACAAGACAAAACGGGTGATTATGGTGAAAATAATTAAAAAAGAAATGATTTTTCTTTTGTTCTTCTTCGAAAGTCTCATAAAACACTAAAAAAACATAAATGAAGAAGAGGAAGAAAATTAAAAACAAAAACAAAAAATCAAATAAATTCATAAGCAAGTAAGGTCTTATGCAACTTGTGTTTATATTCTGCAACGCATCTTAATTTTAATATTTATTGGGGAAGTCAAAAGCTAACATTCAAGTTCAGAAGAAAGTATGACGAAAAATCTCAGATACTAAGAGCACGAAACTTCGTTTATGATTCGTACATGATTACTTTTACAATTTTTTGATTTTAACTAGTCGATTTTCGAGCCTGCATAAAACCATTTAATAACAGTTTACTTGCATTGCATATTGACAGTTTGATAATGAACAATAATTGTGATATTCTGTAACATTTTACTCTAAGGAACTTGTTGAGAATATGTCAACGGTAATTAGATATTCAATATAATATATAATATATAATATATATAATTGGTAGCCCCACTCATACAAATATTCAGTCTGTTTCTGATCTCTAAAGAATAAACATCGTTGTTATTAAATTAAAGCCATGTAGAGTCTTTAATTAAACCTACTAATGAACAAGTATTGTAATTATAAAACCAACAGAACTGCTTCGATTTGCTTAAACAAATTGCTTATTTGAAATTAAAGTTTCAATTAACTTTGCATTACTCTTCTACTTTTTAAGAATTCATTGAAAATATTTAGAATTGCTGAATGTTATTTGAAGCCAATTTAAAAGTCCTTTATTAGTTCTTTGTAATAATTAATTAAACCATCGAAACGAGAAGAACAAGAATAGAATATTAAGCACCCACATAGCCAACAAAAAAATTCATAAATCATCAAATATAACATTTATTGACTGTTGGTTGCTTTTAATGTGGGCAAAAGTATAATTTTGATAATTTTTGTTCCAAGAATAACAAAAAGGTATTACAGCTAATTCGTAACCAGAGCAGAAAATAAGATGTTATGAAAGTTGGTCCATGGCTAAGTTTTAAAAGTAAATAGACTTCTGTGAATAATTATCTGACACGAGTATTATTATTATTATTGTTTATTCATTTCTTTACTTTACAAAGGAAAAGGCATGAGTAGCTAAATATATTGTTGAAAACATTTGATAAATTTTTAAAAAACAAATTAAGCATAAAAATAGATTGAAGACACGATCGTGCAACTGAACACTAGGAAGAAAATCTTATTTATGTCAAAATGAAGTACATAATGAGTTCCTCGGAATTTATTGACTATCATTTTTGTAACAGCATAATTTCCCTCCTACATCTACATATTGATTTATCACTTATAATATCAATGAATAACAAGCAGTCAATATCAGTTTTCTCCGGAATCTTTAGAAAAGTGGCTAGCAACAGAAAGTTAGACCAAAACGGAAGGATGAGAAAAAATCTTTTTTTTTAATGTGAATAGAAGAAGAATGAAAAAATCTTGAAACAAATGATGATAAAAAGTGGCAAAAACTTCCTTAAGAAGACCTAACCAATTCGGCATTATCTCATCTCCCATCATTATCATTTGACTCGTTTATAAAGTTTTGCTTTTAATTTATTTATTCATCTAATTTGAATTGTGTTGGAAAAATTGTGCGCGTAAAATCGAGAAATTGCTTTAGGGGAGGGGACGGAATGGTTGGTGTGAAGAACTCAGAATGAGTTTAAATAGAGCACAAATTGTAGATTTTAAATGGTATTGGCAGGAACGGAAGGGAGAATGAGAATGTTCGGGAGGCTCTTCTGATGAGATAATTAACTGAATTGGATCGGTGTTATTATTGTTATTGTTATTATGGTTGGTGCTTTTTCATCATCATTTTTACGGGGCTTCGCATCCTCAGTTGGAAATTTATTATACATTTCACACAGCATAACATTGTAATTGCCTTACTTAAATGTGGAAAATTGGGAAGTAACGAAATAATGAAAGGCGTATAAATTTTGTGTACTTAAAAAATTCACAACCGAAAAACTTGAAAACCAAAATAAAAAGGATTATAAATTTGTTTCAACTTGCCTTAGAAATACTCCCGTTATGAACCAAAAACTAAGTAGCATCACCGCAGAGCATAAAAATGAGGCAGAAAAGGGCAAAAAATTATTATTTTCTTGCTTTTCGAAGTGTGTGTTTTTGAAAAGCATTTAAATGGAGATTTTTTTAATTGAAAAGTTTCATTTTTTGTTGGAAAAATAATATATAATGAGGAACAAAAAAAAATGAGAAAGAGAGAGATGAAAACTTTTCAAGCATTAATTTGAACAATAGAAGAATAAAAAGTTGACTGCTAATTGTTGACCTTTTTTCCTAATTTTCTCTCTGTTCACTTTTTGTTCCATTTTTGTTTTCATTTCTCATTTCTCATACAATTCATTACCTATTTGATATACTGAATTGATTTTCTATCACTTGCTCCTGATGGCAGAAATTCTTAGCCCATTCGTATGGACTAAAGCGAGCCATGACGAACAGCGTAAACGATACTGGAAAATTTTTAATGAGTTAATTTTTTCACAAGACCCAAAAGGCATTTACACAATTTTCTACTAGTTCAGTCAGCACATTCATTTACTCATTTATCCTATGATATTTTTTTTATATGAAAGTTTGTCAGGTGAATGAAAGAGATTCGGGATATTTCTGAACAATTCATTGCTTATGGAACAAAACTGCAGGAGATATTGGAATTCCAATAAATAGGCATGCATCATAAATAAAAATGTAGGCACTAGAAAACTAAACCCAAGACCTCACCCCTTCCCCATTTTTGAACTTAAACTTTGAAGCTTCAACATTTGACTTTCCTAGCCAAATTGTGTTTTTGGGGTTAATTTGCTAGTTTTTTGAGTCACACTCTTTAATCCAGCTTTTAAGACTAGAGAAAATTTCCATTAATTCTTCAAATTGAGATTCATCAATTTTCGCGAATTAGTATCGAGTCTGATTTAACATCAAACAATAGCTATGGTGGTTTTGGAACATAAATCATTAGTTACAGAAACATGATTAAAAACACTTCTGGGCAAATTTGGTTTAAAATTTTATCAATTTTCTCTGTAAACTCAAACAAACACTTTTAGTTCAAACAATGAAAATCTCCTCTGAATATATTTCAAAGCTTAACTGCATTAGAGATAAGAAAATCTTTATCTAGAAGTTCATAAAACGTCCAAAAATAATCTCTATCTGTATGAGACTAAGAATAGCTTTATTTGCTAAATAAATTACAATGAAAAGCACCCGAAAATCACTTCATCCACCTGATAAAAATATCATCGAGATTGGAATTTGTCTCGTGGGAATTAAGACTACATTACATGTTATGTTATGTTTTTATGTCTTGTATATTACTTTTTCTCGTCAATTGGTCACCTAGCTATTGAAACTAACGAAAAAACTTCTCTCGTTTTTCTTTTCTTTCAATTTCCTGGACGTATACATAATCACATAACATAACATATTGCAAAGAAAAGCGGAAAATAAATGTAGACTATTTTATCATGTGTATAATCCACAACTTTTCTCATTCTCTATTTTTATGCGTCATTCATACACAAGGAATCAGAACAGAAAATGGCAATTTTGTTTCCTTTTTTATTTCCCCATTCATACAGCAAGTCCATTTCTCAGTATTGCGACATTCACCTAAAGTATAAGCAGCTAAAACGTAGAGCCAAATTTCTACCGCCAGAGGATTCATAAAACTAAATAGTCGAGTTGGTTGTGATGTTGGAACCTATATTCGTTTAGTCATATGATATGGATATCATAAAAATGTGTTTAATGTTGTTTTTTTTATTTCATAAAAAAAGAACCAAGTAATAACCGTGAGTGGGAAGTATGTATGTATGTTGGAAGAGAATGAGAAGAAAAAATAGGTAAATGTAAGTAAATTATGCATATAAGGTAAGTATTATAGAATGAATAAAAATCTTCCTAAGGTGGTAACGAAGAACGAGAGAGTGTGAAAAAAAGTGAAATGACATAAGACGTAGAGAAATTAAATGGATAGAATATGTAAGTGACGATAGGGGTGCTATTCACCAAATTATGTCATGTATTTCATACATTATTGCTACGCCATATAAAGGTGAAATTTTCAATCATTTTTCACTGTAACGCAATTTGATAAATGATCCCAACAGGTGAATATATCGAGATATGTACTTTTTCACACATTTTACATGAGATGGCATAAAATGTTGCTGGAAATTTTATGTGTTAATGTGTGAAAGGGGGTTAGAGATTGCCTGTAGTCTTCTGATGTGATTTTTTTACTCTTTTAAGGAACGCATATGCGACCTTTCCCGTCTTTTCACTTCCATTAATGTTTATCCTTTAAATTTCTCTTCTTTTATTTCTAAATATTTCATGTTGAACCATCAAATAATATAATTTCTCAAACTAGTTCTCTTGGTTCGTTGAGAATGACTGCTTAAAGCTTTGCAAAATGTGAGTTTTGTTTTTTAATTTTTAAATTCGTAGCGTATTGAAATTCTTAAGATTGCGTTTAATTTTTCTATGTACATAAGCAGTTAAGTTCCTTGCTGGTCGAATAGGTAAGGCGCTTGGCTCAAATTTGGGATGGTAACTCTAAGGTCGTCGGTTCGAATTCAGCCATTTCCAAATTTGTTCTTTTTCGGAAGTTTAGATAATTCGACTGCTTAATGTAGGAGATCAAGCCATAGTTGGCCATTTGGGCAACGTTGGATTAAGGAACGGGTCAGAAACTTGAAGTATAGCGGGAGAAATAGGAACGAGAGCTACACGATAACCCACGAATGGAATATTGTTAGAACGGACCTGAAAAGTATCACGTCACGCCTACAGAAGATCGAAACGAGAGCCTTAGTTTATTTGAAACCTAGATTTGAAGATTAGCAGTTTGATCCTACATAATACTAATTCATGTGTACAAATACAAAAGTGTGAAATGTGAATTATTACCGGACAGTATGTCGTCAAAAAATGCAATTAAGTGCAATTAAAATGAAAAAAAAAAATCAATCGTTCTCAGACTTCTGGACTGTGACAAAGTTCCTGGCTAATATTTTGTGGATTTACTTGAAGGTTTTGATTGTTTATTTTCGACACAGAAGTGTGCCGTTGAACATAGTTTAAGAATCACCACAGCTCGAAGTTGATTGAGATTTTTATCGATATTTTATAGTTAAGTCGACTCCGAGCTCTGAGAAGCATTGATGTGCTTTCTTGATGCATATTTCGTTACATGGTTTATAATGGTAATGCCAACCAGATACCAAAAAGATCTCTAAACTTTAGTTTGACACGACTTAAAGCAGTCTTTACTTCACTGAGCTTTCTTGATCCGTTAAATAGTCTTAGATGTCTCACAAGTTGATGAGTTTGAGTTTTATTAGTTGAATTCTGAACAAAGTTGCTTATTTTACATGAATCAGAACCCGTTGAGAAACATTGACTTAAAGTTCCCAACATTCTGACTTTAGCTCTATTGAATCAGAAATGAGCAAGTTCCAGGAAATCTCTTTAGTAACAAACAAACAAATAACAAGAATCATATTATGCCACATACTAAGCATTACTGTTAGTCTTTCAGATAGGCACATATTATGTGTCGTAATGTGATGTTAAATTATCCAATATTTTATGCAGTCATTTCACTTTTTTTGTCTCTCTCGGAAATTCTTACGTGCTTGTATTTTTAAAAGAAATTTCTCATTTTATTGTATAGCATCAGATTTTCGCCTTTCCATCATACATTATGATGCTGCTTTATTTGATCAAAATCAGAAGAAAGAATAACATAAAAATGTACTTACCTTGAATAAAATTCCTATTCCTAAATTCATGAATGGTTTTGTAAAATCGATCACATTTTCGCGCGCATAATTGATAGTCTGCTCGTGAAGCGTGTCAAAGGAAATTAAAATGAAAAAAGAAATTGGAAAATAGAAATGTCAATATGTTGAAAATTAAGACTTTTTTCTATTCTTCTTTTTAACACATTTTCCGATGTTTTAGTTCCGATACCAAAAAATATATCCATTGCTTTTAATTTATCTACATGTCTATTTGTTTATGGCAATGTTTACTTGCTTGGTTTATAAATTTCTTCGTAGAAATCCGATAGCAATCTGAAAATGCCTACGATCACATTACATTCTTTAGGCTGGCTGGACTTCTAATCGGATGACAACTTTTGAAAAATATTTATTTTGTTTTTGCAAAATTTATTTTAGAGAGCTTTTATGAGAAAATTTTAGTATTTCTCTTGAGATTTTGTCGTCACTTGTCTGTTGAATGGAGGAAATTGATGAAATATTGTACATAGATTCTTTGATAGAAAATAAATGTAGGACAAATTTATTAATTTAAAAAAAATTCAATTCGATTTGTTTTTGTAATAAAAGTAATCCATCATTAGAACTCCATCCTTCAACGCATGTCACAACATTATATTAAAATTTTAAAACCGGCAGCTCTTGAGTTTTAGAGCTAAGCATCTGGATTCTATTGTATAACACCCTTCAGTGGACAGTTTATAGTAAAATCTGAACCAATTGCGAACTCTGCACTTTTTAAAGTCATTAGTACATCTGAACACCTGATGGATCCTGTATTGTAACCTATTCACGTATACCTAGCAAAGAACGCACAAACCGAGCTTCGTAATTAGAACTGTGAAATAGAATAAAAGCTTTTAATGCTTAATTTATCCTTAAAACTTCAAATCATTGACAAATATTTAAATTAAAAATTTTTAAGCACCCTTGTTAAGCTTCTGAACAAATCAAAACTAGAATAAAACATCGGATAATGCGCTTTAATAAATTACTGTAAAAGGAAGTTGATCAGTACTTTGTACCTTCACAAACAATAAACAAAAGCATATTAAAGCAACTCTCACTCACCATTGATGCGACTGCTAAGTCAGATTTTCTTTCAATTAATTCTCGAACTGCGAAAATGTTGAAATAAAGAGATAAAGAACAGAAACGAATAAGACGTGTGGAACGTGTATAGGTGTTGCAATGGTGTTCGAGCAATAAAAGGAATCACAAAATAAAAACTTTTTTTCCTTTTCATTAGCTTTCATTGCTTTTTTTCCTCATTTTTACTATACAACATAATACAAATGTCAGTTCTATTGTGACAATTTGTGAGTATAAATGTGTATATTGCTATTTTTTGATATTACTTACCTATGCCATTCCATGTTTTCGTTTCAGGATTGTAGACACCATAAATGCCGTCTGGCACGAGTTTAATAACGTATTGAAAGCCAACTTGTGCGGCAATTCCTTTAAGTAGATCAATACAAAATCCTTCGAACCTATCATTGCCAGTGAAATTGCCCTCCTTTATCATCAAATAGGGCTTTTCTTCACGTGTCATTACAGTAAGCTGAAAGTAGAAATGAATATAATATGGATGTAAGTAGGTAAGTAAGTCTGAACATGAAATAAAAGTATACTATCAAGCCACTTGTCACAATATTCCTTCTCTATATTCTATCCTTAAGTAAGACGAAGGGGGAAAAGAATGAAAGTTTTGTGTATGAGACATAAGACATTCTTTTCTAGATAGATGGATAAAAGTATATTGTACGTAGTATCGGATTTTTTAAGAATAAGAAGAATTCGAGGATTTTCATATGCTGTTTAATGTTAGGGCTTATAGGATTCACGTTGTTGTGAGACTTCACTGCAGAAACAATTTAAATTACTGGTTGTTACCAAACAGAGTTGGTAGGATGAGCAATTAGAAGTTTAGCCAAAAAATTTAGAAGGGGGTTGGAAGTTGCTACAGTTTTTATCGTTTGGAATAAAATCAAAAATTCCTGTGGCCAGCCCAACTGATATGTCTTTCGGTGATGGTTGGGAAAAGATATTCATTAACAAATCCTAGCAATTTTAAATAAATTGACTGAAAATTAGTGAGAGAAGTCATGGATGGGGAGGTGTAGGGCACTTTCAGACTTTTCCTTGCTCTGAGTCTATCTGCGAATTATTTGAAAATTATTTATATTAATACTTAGATAACAACTCTGTCTGCATATAGCAATCATTCATTGGAAACCTTACAACTATATTAAATAACATTCGCAATTTTATTTTTTTATTTCTATAGTTTGTATTGTTCTTCACAATATTGTACTACATTCTACGACACTCTTACTCGATTTTCTTTTTATGGCAATCATGCAATAGAGTATAATAGTATAGCATAAGTTGGAAATTATTGCAAGTATAATCGTATTTTTATTGAGAAAGGTTATTGTCACTTTATCTTGTTATATGCTCAAGATTTTTCCTTTTTTTTCACAACAATCAGCACTAAGAATAAGAAAAGTAGACAGATGAAATTTTCCATTAGACAAATCCAATTTCACAGTAAAAAAATAATGCGTTCATTCAGGATTGGAGGGAGTGATGAATAAGAATTTAATGATCATATCATTTGAAAGCAGCTTTGGATTTAAAATAAAAAATAATATGAACTTACAGTTATTTTTGTGATGTTAGTCTCGTAAAACGCATTGGGATCCTTAATTTCCAATCCACGTGCAGATGTCCATTCTCCAACTTTTTTCAACTCCTCACGTTTCAATTTAAGTAAATCGAGTTTGAAGTTTATTCGTTTGCCTTCATTAAACTCAATTTTTCCTGTTAGACCATCGATGCTGGCTGAATCAAGATAATTGTATAGTGATAAACCATCATTCCATGGTTGCTCTAAATCACATGATAAGTTTACTAATTTTAATTTGTGGCTTCGATCGAGTGCTGATAATCCATTCGCATAAACCGTTACAGCATCAAACATGAGCGCTGAATCACTCTAAATTCATTTAATATTTTTTTTTGGTGTGTGAAAATATGTGAATGGGTTGAATGAAAAGAATGAGAAAAAAAAAGTTATGTAATAATACCACGACGACGATACAGCAACATCATAATCGATGTTGATATGTTATATGCGTATACATAGGCATTAAGTCGGTATTAAAGGGAAAGACGGAGGGGTTAAAATGATAGGCATATAAAAAGAAAAGTCCCCATTAATGTATGAAGATATATGCTAATGTTAAGGGATTTGTGGAGTGGAAGAAAAGAAATGGAAAAGAATAGAATAAAGGCACAAAATTTTACCATAATCACCGAACTTCCATTCAATATTTCTTTCCCACTGTGTTGGAATTTCTTCATTTGCTCCATTATGTCTACTACTTTTGGACTCTCTACATCCACTAGTCTAAATGCTGTAATGTTTACGCTATTGTACTTGAAGTCTTCTAAGTCAAACGTCTCGATATCCTATTCAAAGAAGAAGACAAAACAACAAAGTTAGAGAGCAGAAATAGAAACGAATAAGTTTTCAAAAGTTTTATTTTCATCATCCAATAACGAATATATTTTTTTTCTCTTCCTTCTATTACCACGTGTAGCAAGACAAAAATATATACTTTTTTACTTCTTTTCCTCTTCCTTTCTTCTTGTTTACGAATGTAAGGGAAGCTCAAAACTCATTCAGAATCATGGATGCTTTCAGGGTTGGAATAAATCCTGAGAAATTGGTTTTTATCAGTAAATATTTGATGCAGTATCTATAGACTCAATATTTTGCTATTGGCATTGTAAAGTATGCTATGATATTAAACCAACTGAATTGCTACATGTCATTTACAGCCTCATTAAGAGTTATAAGTTAAATGACTTCATTGACATTTTTTTTTTACATAAATGCTTAAATAACTTTACCACCTAATGGCTATGCCATCATGTAATGAAAGTAGTTGGAACTTCATTTGACGTAAAATACCATAATTTTGTTTGCTTATGTAAAACAGTCGAAAAAGTTAGGTGAGAACAGCAACAAGTGGTTTTTTCCCTTGCTAATATCAGCTTACATCACTGACTTTTCAGCAGTAACACCATTTAGTAAGTTTGTAATGAAAATGTTCATTTTTGCTGATGAATTTTGAAAACATTCGACAAAAACTATGTAAATGCTATTGAAACTGCACCTTTGAACATGTTGAATATGTTAAGGCTTAATAGGACACTTTGATGTAATTTTATGAAACATGAATTAGAAATGCAATTATCAGCTCTAATTTTAAGGAAGCAGAAAAGTTACAAAAATTACTCTATAGAGCCTCTAAATCCAAACTGTTAAGAAGGTAAAACAGTTTTCACTTAACTGATGATTTTTACAACTCTGAATATGAACATAACACAGGGAAAAATTCTCAGAACAAGAAGGAAAAGATAAGAAAAAAAATCGTGATGAGATAATGAGATGAAAACTTACAAATGTGGTAAACATGTAATGATATCGGAAGTCGTTCATTTGAAGTTGAAGTATCTGAAAGAAAAAAATATAATAAAATTAATATCTGATTGGGTAATGAAAAGGGCTTATATGTTAAAGTGGATTTAATAAGCAAGCTACATCAAAATAAACATGATTTTTGAAAACAGTTGACTTACGAGATGCCAAAAATGTAAACATCAATTTTTTCATAATAATAATAAGAAGAAAAACCAATGATGTTGTTTTTCATCTTCTTTAGACTTTTATGAATCTATTTTGAGTCTCAAATGATTTTTTAAACATTCAGTCTCAATGAAATGCATATCAAAATTACTCTTTCTAAATAGAGCAAATATTTTCGTAAATTTATTCCATCCACAAAACCTTTATTCAGATAGAGAATTTCCACGAATTACTCTGACCCTTTTATTTTTGGAAAAATGTTTTTTTAAATATAAATATGAAAACTGTCAAGTTCAGTTCAAAAAATCAAGTTTGTGAAAGTTCTTTTGTAAACTTTATTTCCCTCTAGATTGATATTTTTAGACAAGCTTAAGTAATGACATTTTTGAGATTCTGCGAAATTTGTCGCCATGAAGCTCTTTAGATCGTTTTTACTATAGCGATTTTATAAATATCACAACCTTCAAAGATCTGTGTAGGTGATTTGTAAAAGGCAAAATTCAATTTGTGGTTGACTTTAAATGAAAATAACAAAGAACTATTTTTGGCTAAGTATCTTTAATTTAATTATGTCTACCAATAATTATCGAAATTTTCATTAACTTGCATGATTAAAAAAAGTTTCGAGGATGGTAAGCCACCAATAAATGTTGTTCGAAAACATTTTTTTATCAACACAAAAAAAGGTCACATAATCAAATATAGTTCATTGAGCAATTTTAATTCGATATCATTGGAATTAATTTTGGGGAAAATAAAGTTTCATTTTTCCCCCCTTTTTTTGCTCAATTATTAAAATTTCATTTAGGTAGTATTTAGAATAATCTATAAATAATCAAATTATTTAAAAATTCATGAATTCAAATTTAATAGTCTAAAGTTATTCTCTTATTATGTCATCAAGTGGTTGTCTTCAATATTATTTTCATGTTAATGATATTTTATTTATAAATTTATTACTCTTGTTATTACTTCTTGTATAAATTTTCCGGGTTGTTGATAAAAATTAATGAATATTCACTTAACCCTTAGGTCGTATTCAAATATTGAATGAGCAACAATCAGTTTTCTAAAGTAAACAGCCCTTTTACTCAACTTCCATTCAATCTACGTTGTTGTCCCTTTTGTTTACTATTTAAATGTCCATAACGAAAATATTTTCTTACATTGATTGTTTATTTCCTGGAAATTATTTGCATTTTCCTTCTCGTTTATTCTTCTTGTGCTGCAATAATATTTACTTTCATTTTTATTTGTGAATAATTCTTTGAAAGGAACAAAATGTTTATGCTGGATTTTTATTTCTTTATTCTTACATATGCTTGTCTTTTGAACTTTCTAGAGACTTTTCTGATTATTTTTCAAAGTCACACTTAATAAGCTCTGTAAAAAAGTGTTGACAGGATTTACCCACGTAACCATAAGTCGACGAATGGAAGATTTTATGTATTACATCAAAATCTTCCATGTATGTTCCATATGTACATTCCATGTATCGTACATTGGACATTATGCTAATATGAAAAGGGACGATTTTTAGTCGATTTTATGTCGATTTCACGTCGATTATTTTTTTGAACCAAAATCAAATTTTTTTTGACCGTTACAATATAAAAACCGATTAACGGAAAAATTTCAAATTTTTTTTACGTGAAAATATTTTTGGTTAATTATACTATAATTTGTAGACAAAATCCAAAAAAATTAATTAAGGATTTTGTCTTTGAAAAAAGAGTCGAAGTCTTCATTTAGATGAATGATTCGCATGTAATTAATTTAATTAAATAATCACACTTTGTATGAAAATTTGGCTGTGCCTTATATAAGTGATTTCTGATTGCACTTGTGAAGTATATAGCGGCTCAAGAAAAACGAATGTAATGGATGAAAAATCGACGTCTATTGGATCATCCAAAAAATTGTACATTTAAGTCGATTTTTTCATTGACGGCGATTTTGGTTACGTGGGTAGGTTGGGGCAAGGAAAAAAAATAATTGTTTAATTTGGCATGCTTGTTTTACAAATACCCCCCACCCCCTCCCTCTACTAAACAACTTCTGGTTACGCGACTAGTTGATGAATATTTAAAGTAACATTTACTTGGAAGTAAAAACATAATTTAAAAAGAGTTTTTTATAGCTTAGTCTTTAAGACAATAAAACTCAGGATTAACAACAAAAATCTCGAGTAATTCTGAAAATCTTATAAGATGTGACAAACAAATTTATTGTTGGCAATTGTTTGAGATTTTAGAATTAACTTTGAGCAAAAAACTTGACACAAATGAAAATAGTTCAAAATAGTTTTATTAACACCAAATGAGTGCTGCACGGAGGTTGATTGCATTTGGCGTTGAAGAAGAATTTTGGTTTAGTTTTGAAGAATCTATATTAGTGGGCGTCTGAGATTATGACTATGACATCTGAGATTTAGGGCAAAGGGAGGTTTAGGATTTTGTGACATCCAATTTCGCAAAAAAAAAAAAAATCATAATTTTTGGTAACCTTTGATTGGATATCACAAGGGAGAGTGGGTGGAGGGAGGGATCAGTTCAACAGTTCTGTGCAATAAGGGGGGGGGGGAGGACTAAAAATTATGTTTTTTATGGACGTCATAAATGTTTGTGTTAGTCGAGAAAGCATTGTTAAATCTTTTAAACATATTCAAATTTGCCAGGGCTTAGTAAAGTCTGAACTATATTTACTAAGGTCAAGTGAAATTACCATGAATAAAAAAAAAACCATCACAGTACACAGCATTAAAACCAGATCTAAATTTTGGCCTAGACTCCAGTCTCAAGAGAGAAGTTAAATGTAGAGTCAAGCGTAAAAATGAGGGCACGACATAGATTAAATGTAGTGAGTAAATGTAAGAATTTTTCTTTTGATATTAAAATTTTAAATGCGTCAAAATTTCCACAAGGAGTACGGAAGAAGTAAAAGTGAAGAAATAATTAATAAAGTCACTCAAGCACAACGGAATTTACTTACAGTGCGAAAAAATTTGTTAATGTACAACGGGTTTGTGTCTATAATCAACTTGTAAATTTCCTTCTGCCTAATTTCTCTGAAAATGTTAATAATGAGGAAGAGAAAAGAAGAGAGAGAATAAAATATTTTTAAGTACGAGAAATGGTAAAAAAGTGTGAAGATGTTAAGTGGCAAATGTAAATTGAAAATGGCAAAAGAAAATGGAAATAACAGTTTCAACGAGAACGTTTAACGGAAAAGGCATTTATGATGATTGCTTTTTATAAGGTGCTCAATGTGCCATTCGTTTCACTCTCAGATACTCTCTCTCTGTTTTCCATCCATTCCATAAAGGCACATAAACACACACTTATAAGAACAAATATACTCAAATATGTTTAACATATTTGGTAAAAAAAAAAAATAAAATAAAAATATATGAAGTGTAGTCTCAGACAATGGTGGATACGTACCTTAGAACGAGTCGATATGTCTCAGGCAAAGTTTGCCTTATGTAAACTTCCATTCCACGCTCTGATGATTTCATAAGATCTTGCTGCTTAAAAACGCCTAGATTTGAGTAGGAAGAAAAAAATATGAAAAGGTCCATAATTGAATTATTATTTACGCATCTGTCCCCATACATCTTTGTATTTATTTTTCAATTCATCTACGTGCTTATGCACGCGGCATCAGAAGCAATCTCTGAAAGTATTGATAGTGTGAGAGATTTTTATACATTCTTTGAATTTATCGTTTTGCTGCTTGTTAAATTTTATGTACTTTTCGTGAGAAGCAGTTTATTAAGAACTTTTTTTGAAAGAAGCTCCTTTGACATAAGCGCATTTTGTATGTCGTTAAAAAATTCTTCAAGATTTTTCATTTTTTGATTCAACAACCCTTTTATGTTCCTCCCTACAGGCATTCTCATCAAAGGGATCATATTTTATCATGAAAAGATAAAGTATAACAATAAACTGAATATTTTTTATCTGGAATAAATCTTTGGATGGGGATGATAGCATGCTATTAATAATCATCAAGAAAAGTTTTCACATATTTCTCATACACAAAAAGCATGAAATTGTTATCTGAATGAATGAAGAACTTGAGACTTGCTACTTGTAAGTATTTTAAGGATTCTTTTATAAAATAGTATAAATGTTGAGAATCAATTCTGCATAAATTTTCAATCAACAAATAACAAACCACGAAAATTCACCATTTTCATCGCATTAATATTTCGTTTGAAATCAAAATGGCAATCTATTGGTAAATTTAGTTACCAGGACATCCAGTTAACTCAAAAACATCAATTTTCCACAATCTATCAAAAATTTATATTGAACCGTAACAAAAAAAAAATCCATATCCAATTCATCATAGCCGATTAGAAAGCATCATTTCATATCTCATACACTGAAAACTATGCTTTTTTTATCAGTCGCCATAGCGTTGATAGAGCAATACTAGGAATAACTCACATTTGCCGCATTGACTGATATGATGATAAAACTATACCGCTATGCTTAAATTTGTATAGCTTGATAGCAACATCAATTTTTTAACAAACTGATAATGTCATCACGCTAAAAAGACTTTGCAAGTCATTCGCGAATGACTGTCTAGATTTCGATGTTGTTTGTTTTGGGTTTAGATGACAGCATATTAACACTATTTAAGAAGGTTCCATTAGTTTGTAAATATCCTTTTATTCAAATGTTTAGTTTAGAATCAAAGCTAGAAATTGAGTTTGAACGTTTAAAAGGCTAAGTTCTTGATTATTAAATTATTAAAAACCATGTAAATCGTTATGTTGCAGAAAAGCCATTCGAGGACTTTAACAATGTTTCATAATCTTCGAAAATGAGAATTCATTATAACTATTTATAGAAAATAAACTGAATTTTCTTTTTCGGAACTCGAGGTTCATTTTGAACTTGTTAAATCGAATTTAATGTGGCATGAAAAGGAGAAAGTTTTTAATCAGCTTTGAAAGTTTTAAGCCCATTCAGTTAAGAGGAAAAAGATAAATCTCCAATTACATAACAAAGTAGACACATAAAAAAGGTGAACAAACCCGTCCGAAGGGTAGACAAAATAAATTTTCCAGCACATCTCTTTTATTGAGGTGTGAGAATATAAAGAAAGCATCAAAGTATAAATAATTTTCATTTTTTACAACTCAACAATATCAAAAACACTGTAAAGACGCAAGTGTGCTGCAATCTCATAAGTACATCAATACTTTTTTCTTCTTTTTAAATTTTTTTATTATTCGTATTTTTCTCATCTCGCATGAATATTTTTAAAGCTTCTTTTCATGCTTTTATAGTCTCTTTTATGTCATATTTTGATATGATGTGTTTACACTGTTTTCTCATCGAGCAAAATTTGACAAAAATAAAAGAATAAAAGATATTTTTTTAAGGGGATTATTTACACATTATGTTAATGATATTTATGATATTAATATGAAATTGTCAACAATTCAATTGAGATGCTTCAGTAGGTAGATATTAATCGACGTGCAAAATGAATGAACAAAAGACAATGTGGAAGTTTTTTAGGGCAAAATTTATGCACCAATTTTCAACATGCCAAAATTAATGAAGATAAATTTTTAGGAAATTAACATTTCCACACAAGTCTACAATGGTAATTAGGTATAGGTTTTAGATGAGTTATTAATTTTAATAAGTTCGGCAAATGAGTTTTGCTCGTAGAATTGTAAATTAATGAATTTGTTGGATAAAAATTTATGAGGAGGATGAACATCGTCGGTTTCAAATTTAACTTTAAGGTTTCAATTTTTCTTGATGACTGCCTAATTAAAAATACTTTTTGACGACAAAAATGTTGGGAGGCGCTTGATGATTTATTCAAGAAGCATTATGCAACAACACTTTTTGATTTTTGAACACTTTTAAACAATTTTATCATGAAAATCCTACTTCCTACCAGATTTTAAAGTTGACTCAAATTTTGTTTAAAATCGATCTTCTTTGACTTGCTTTTCAAATCATCTTCGAGCTCTGACTTCTTATTTATAATTTTGATGATTTGTGTTTACTCATAAAATTGACATAACATCATTTCAACCATATTTTAAAGGTATACAAATGTTCATCATAAATGATTCGATTTCAAATGAGACGAAATATTCAATCAATCAATGATATTAAGTTTAAGCATATTCATGCTCTTTCCTTATAAATCATTTTACAATTTGATTTGGAAATATTGATTTTATTTTAAGCATTTCATTAAACTTTCAATTATTTAACTCTCGAGTAGGTTTTAACCTTGAAGAAGTTTGACAGATTTTGATATTGAAAAGTATTTTAAGAATTTTTAACAAGCTTCTGAATTAAATTTTGTTGTGTTTGTAAAAACCAAACAATCAAACTTTTAGAATAGATTAAGGTATGATTTTTCAGGTGTCAATCAAATGATAATGTGTTTTACTGGGAAAATTGATAAAGCACACTTTAAATTAAAGGTTTGAGTTAAAAGATTGAGGTAAGAAATTATTCAATTTTATGAAAGATTTTTTCTTGTTCGTTCTCGATTCAATATTTTAATTAGTAAGTCATACGGTTTTCGAAGTTTATAAAGATTCAGAATGATTTAATGATTTCTCGAATGTTTGTTAATTTATGTAATGTCAATAAATTGATAAAGTTATTTCTAAGGTTGTTCATTCAACACTGGACTTTCACACTAACCACCTCTTCCTTCCATTCAGTCACAAAACTTTTACATTTTCAAATCAAGAGATCAACTTCCTTTCTAAATGTTGATAATCATTTTCTGAATGACCCTTAAGGGGTCGTTCACTTATCACGTTCGCATTTTAGGGGGGAGGGGGGGGGGGGGGGGGGGTTGAAAAATTTTAACAAAAGGTAACATAGGGGGGGGGGGGTGTCAAGAAGTATGTAACGTTCTAACTGTCGTCTGTCGTTTAAAAAAAAGTTCACGAAAAAAATTTGTTTACAAATTCACACCAAAAACATTTTTTTAAATTTCCACCTTTTCAATGATAAAATAAATTATGAACGTTCAGGGGGGGGGTTGTGAGTTGTAACATATTGTAACAAGGGGGGAGGGGGGTGAAAAAAGTTGTTTTTTTGCGTAACGTAATAAGTGAACGGCCCCTAAGGAATAATTGAATTTAAATTCGTAAAATAATCCTCTAAGAGTTCTTAAACATAATTCTTAGAAATTCAGAAAATAAAACAAATCAAGCCAAATAAGTTTGCTTCCAAAAAAAATAATCCAAATCAGATTAACTTCTTAATTCTGCTTAAAATTTATGATAAAATATAAAAATATTCACACAAAAAAATAATGTAATTTTGGTCTCAAATTTCAAAGTGCTTTTTAATATAAATTCATCAAATGCTCCCCATTAAGCGCACCTAGCATATATACCAAGAAAAATCTTATTAAATTTGTATGAACAAAGTAATCTCTTTAATGAAATATTTTGCTTGTACCCTGTTTTTTCGTTATAAGCTAGTAGCTTAGAAGAATAAAAAAGTGATTTTTTTGGCTCTCTAGTAGCTTAGTAACGAGTAGTAGCTTAGTAAAGAAATTGAACTTCAATGAAAATTTTGAATTTTTTAACTTAATAAAAGAAATTTTGCTATCTTCTCGATTTTATTTCATTGACAATGTCATAAGGCATTGAAACTGTTACTTAGAAAGTTGAAAAAAATTAATTATACTTTATTTTTGGTAGTAGCTTAGTAAAGATTACAAAAAAATTTCAAGTTCAAAAAAACTTTACTAAGCTAGTAGCTTAGTAACGAGTAGTAGCTTATAACGAAAAAACAGGGTAAGTTCAACAGTAATTTTTTAGAATACGTCAATTGATTTCCACGCTTCTTATCTCCTTCACTTCTTCAAGTTTTTTCTTGTGTTCACACTTTGCTTGAAGGCAAACATTGGAAGTAAAAAAAGCGATCCCTCTTCATTTCTTAAAAAAAAAAGTAACTGCAAGAGTCTTTGATAGACAAAAAATGAGGGAAAGAGTGCACACAAATCTAATAAAAAATTCTTTTTGTATAAAAACTTTACTGCTGTTTTACTCCTCCTTAGTTATTTTTTTATGAATTTTTTTTTATCCATGAAAGTAAGAAGAAAAGTTCTCTGTACTTTTTTTAAAGGCGATAAAGAAAATGAAATCAATGAAAACGATAAACTTTTTACTCATTCATTCATTCTTATTCACTTTTTTTTTACACAAAAACATTCATTTTAAGCACAATAGTATTAAGTAAGTTTGTGTCTATAGATACATAATAGATACCCACATAAAGAGAAGAAACATGAGATGAGAAAATAAAGGAGAAATTATAGCTATTTCCCCCAACAAACAATTGGAAAATTTGCTACCATAAATTTTCTAGCTGCATACCCGAATCAAGAAGAAGAGAAAAAAAATTGTATGAAAAATATTTTGATAAATGGCTTTAGGGATGGCCAATTTACATTTTTGATAGCAATGCTGATTGATCCGAAACCAAATTTATCATTATTTTTACATCTCCTTTCTCTCATTTTGATGAGTGAAAGGATCTTTTAAGCTTAACATAGCAAGAAAATTTATAGCATAGTGTCCATGGTCAGGGGATGGTTTCAACGCATTTCTTTTTCTTGATTAAAAGGAAATCCTAAAACTCTGCAGGGGAAATAGCATAATTTTCCTATGTTGAGGTTGACTGGATGTTCTGTTTCTGAATAAAAATGCTCAGGATCCTGACAGAAATGTTGTTGAAGAGTATCGCATTCATCCCTAAAGAATCAGAACTAATTCAAAGTTATTTGTTCCAAATCCATATCGAACAACAACACAGACTTATTATTCATTCTATAGAAATACTTATTTTAAAAAGAAGAGTCAGTAAAGAATTTAAGGTACATAGCCACGATAAGCTTCTAGCCATAAAATGTTTCCTTTGCTTCCTAACTTACAGTTTTCTTGCCATTAATGAAAAAATCTTCAACCATTAATAAAATTTCATCATTTTCCGACCCAATTCTATCAAATTTCGGGTATATAATGAACTAATCAACATCCAAACTGAGTACAGCAACCCCTTCTCTATTTAAAAAAAAAATGCGCCAAGAAGAGATGTAAAATTTCCCAGTTGAAGGCTTCAGTTGCCATTTTTTGGGATGGAAAAAAAGGCAAGTGTCGATGAATGCAAATCGATACGGTTGAGAGTCAAGTGAAAGGAGATAGAGATGGGGTGAATCATTACCACACGAAGTTAATTAAAGTTTCCATTTCTACTCTCATTTTGTCTACTCATTCCATCTTCTCTGATCACTACTATCAATTTCAGATTGCTCTGTGTGTACATTTATATTTGCCTTCCGGCAGGATTTATTACCTTCGTAAATTATCGCATAACGAGTCCAATTCAAATATTTTACAGTATCTAATATCGCATCATTGAGCTTTTTCTGCTGTGGAAAAAGATTAATCGAAAATTCTTTAGCACCATGATCAATATCAAATCTTGTTTCTATATGAGGTATATCGAGCGCCTCGCAAATTGATTGAATGTGAGGGCCGAGTAGCGAATCCGATGGTGGTCCTTTTTTGCCAATTTTATTTCATTTCATTTCATTTATATGTATTTAGTTTTTTTTGTATGTGTATATATTTTTTTTCGGATAATCCCCCCGTTGTGAGTGAGAAAAGTGAAATTCATGGATGGACCATGGGTGGTCGAAAAAAGTAAAATATATAAGCAGAGTCGATATTGCGAATGAGTGAATTGAATTTGAATGATATCGATGTGATGAAAATCAGCAGTATTAAGAAAACAGCAGTTGTTGTAGTCATGGGTTTTATGGGAAGAAATAAAAAAAAGAAAAGAGAAGAAAAAAATTGATTAAATTGAACTTTGAAACACATTTTAACATCCCAAAAGGAATCAAAATTGAATTGTAGCAATTGGCAATAATTGTATCGAAAGAAAAAAAAAGATTCTATTGCTACGCACTTACCGAATATTGCTGTAACACCATTCTCTATACTTTTACAAACTTTCTTCGATGTACGAAATGAATCAGTCGAGTCGGGTACATATTGTATGTCATAAACTAATGTTGTCTTCGGTAATATATTTCGATCCTTGTTAATTTTATATACAGCATATTTAAATGCTAATTCTATGCTAGTATCCTTTTGTTCCTCACTAAATATTGCGCCTATAGGCCATATGAAATAGAAATAGAAAACATAAAATTTATTATAATGTGTATCCTCATATATTGTATATAAATCGGGAATGAAGATGAAAATTGCAAAATATATTTCATTCTAAATACGAATTTCAGTTAAAAAACGCCATAAGAGAATAAGAAAATGGTAATGTAATGAATGAGAAAACTTTTCATTCACTTCCCATCCTTCATTCCTTTGTTTTTTTGAGAGAAATAACAATAAGGAAAAATTTATTTATTTATTTTAATATTTGTAAGTAAACGCCTTGAAACCAGAGCTTGTTCCCAGGTATAGAAACTTTTGGAATTTCAAATTAATTGAAATTTTTTCGGTCACTCCCCGTCCTCTCATACAAAACTTTTAATTGTAATTTACTAAATGGAATTTCACCAGAAAACTGAAAAACTTTTAGATAACGATACATTAAAAAAACCTCAGAAATAGACATAAAATGTTTTAAATTGCTTATTCCTGCAGCATCCCAGAAATCCCTCACAATAGCTATAATGAAGTTTTCATGTTGTAACAGGGGATAAACAAACCATTCTAGCTCCCTTAATAATCAATTATTGTAGCTTTAATGTCTTTTCACTCGGATATATTTTATACGGTATTGTTCCAGTATAAACTGTAATCTCCATTTTAAAAGTCAAATTTAATTACTTCTTTCACTAATCCTCTCCATAATCTTCCATTTTCACTCTATATAAAGTTTCTTATTCATTTGAGACACATTTTTAGAGACATAAAGGCCATTCCCATCCCTTGAAGATTATTTGTCTCTCAAAATCCGAGTGAAAAAGGAAAAGGGGAATTTAACAATATTACAATACGAAATAATATGGAGAATAGAATAGAAAGACATGAAGCATTGAAAGCACTATCACCATAACATAAGAGAGTATTTAACATGTCGAGTGCTTATGGACTTAAAATTATGGAAGGGACAGAACAGTTTATGTTAAAATCTGAATAGAACTAGTATTTAAAAAAATCAATCCAGAACATTTTTTTAAAGAAGGTGGAACTTGTTTTTAAATTCTTTAAATTTTTTACTCAGAAAGTTTGGTTAGAAGTCCTGAGCTCAAAGTCAGCTTAAATTGGAAGTCACTTGAAAATGGCTCCTTTTTGGTTCTGAGTATATAAGCTGCTTAGTCAAAATAAGGCACTCTAATGAATCTCAATCGAGTATTGGTCAAGGATGCAAAAATGATAAATTAGCCAGGTTCGGAAACTAGGCGGTAAACCCCCAACTTCCATACAAATACACCCAAATACCACCTCTTTATATGAAATACCGCTAAATACGGTCTTTAAAATACCGCCTAGTTTTCGAGCCTGGTAAATTAGATTTTGATCAATTTTGATTATTTTGATCAGTTCCCCAACCTTGGTATAGGTCTTGAAGCAATTTTAAAAAATTTTAAAAAAAATCCCAATTTTTACGTCCACAACCATCCATTGGCATAACAACAAGCAGAGAAAAGGCTTTGAAAAAACCAACATTAAATGAACAAATATAGATAGAAAAGAATGGTTAACATGTAAATTTATTATTCATTATAGTAAAATTTGATTTTTTTGTAGAAATGAATTCTTCAGTCTGTTTAGTGAATAAATAAGTATTTAAGTGACTAAGTGGCTAAACAAAGTTACTGCTGTAGATTTCTGGTTTATATCTCTGTGTATTTTTCGTCTTTGTAGTTTGCATGAATAAGTGAATGTAGAGATTTAAATGTATAACAAATACTGGATAATAATGATTATTATTTGCCTATATTCATTTTCACAATACGAATAATGTGAGCATATACAAAATGCTGTAAATGCAAAAGGTTGGAGGATTACATTAAGTACGAAACAGAACGAATGAATGAACCTTTATTATTCAAAGTATGAAACTAGGGAGACAACAGCTGATCACACATAGGAAGGAGATTGGGAAAATTTTGCATAGCTTTGTCAAAACATTCAAAGCTTTGTTCCCCAAAGCTGCAAGTCCCCTTTTATAAATCGCACGTAGACGTGCTTATCATACTTACCTATTTTGATAACTGGTGGTAGTCCTGAGCAGCAAATGGCAAATATTGTAATCCACATGTAAATATATAAGATGAGGCTGCTCATGCTGCCGCCTTGGTATGTTTGGTGTCTTCGATGAATTTTCAACGATGTACATTGGCATTTTATTAAATTTTCATCACTATCATCCTCAAAATTCTCATTAAATATCTCCAAATTGATTTTATTACTATTATTAACATTATTGGCACTTTGTATCATTTTTTTGTTGTTGCTGTTGCACAAAGGATTTAATCCTTTTTTCTCACACTTTTGCTTTATCTACAAAATTAATCTTCGTAAATATTTCTTTAAACTCATCTGTCTGCTTAGTTTCTTTTTCCTAAATCCTTCTCTCAATCATCGACAATTTATCTTCACTTTTTGTTGATTCAATCTACTAATTACATAAATAACATCCCGTTAAATTAAAAACAATTCGAATGCATTACCGAACGAATGAAGCAGAAAATTCATTTTTCATCATGAAGCGCACATAAAAAATGAGCAAAATGAAATAAATGAGCAAATGATAAAGACACATTCGATGAATGGTGTGAAATGAATTGCAGATGGATGGAGCTTTAAAAAAAAAGGGGGGAGAAAATTTTCAATCAGACGCTTCTGTACATCAATAAAAGAATGAAAATCGGGGAGTAAATTTCATTCATTGAAACAATTGATATTGTCACAAGTTGAAGCACTATGAAAAGATTTAAACGCATTTATGAAGCTTTTCTCCTCCTTGTTGAACTTTTTATGAGGTTTTTTTGCGCACGAGTGTTTTTCTTTTAAGTTAAATTGAATGTTGAAAAAGTTTTTTTTTGTTTTCAAACATTTCCATTTAGTTTTTTTAATATTTTACGCTACAAATTATATTATTTGCGTCATGCCAGGTCTTACATAAAGGATTACATTTTAAAAATTCTCAGTCAATGATTTTAAATTGAGAAAAAATAAGAACAAAATGTCAAAATTCATGAGAATTGACAATTTTCAAATATTGAGTTTTTCACTCCGTAAAAATTGATATTTTATGCAAAATGATCAAAGCAAAAAAAAGAGCGCGACTAATGGAAAAAAATTACGAGTTTCAATCAAATTTACGGATGGATGATAATTTTTAAAACACACAAAAAGTCATTCAATGTGTGTGAATTAAAAAAGTTCATTTGATTACGAATAATATTCACTGCCGTGCTCTTAATCATCTAGAACTATTTTATCATGTTCTCGTTAATATAAAAATAGTTTAACATCAGATTCATGGAGATTTGTTAGACGACACGTAGTTTTACTCACGATATCGTGATTAATCCACAGCACATCGTCGGTATACTTAGTAAATTTAAATTCTTTAGTAAAACAGATCCTCGACACACAAACGAATGCACATGAGTTACATAAGAGTCTTGTGGTAATTCTTAACAAGTGTTAGCGCAGTTAGCATTAAAGTTTGCTTGAGCTTTTAGAGAATGCTTATTGAGGATGCTCAAAGTTCATCATAGCAAGAACTTCTTCAGAAGAGAAACTTTAAATTATATAAGTTTTATATTTTTTTTTCTTTGTACGTGTGAGGGTTCTTTTGTCTCTTATGATTTGCATTTCTATGGCTCTCTGATGTTTCTCTGACGTAGTTTGCATTTATTATTGTCAAATAAAATATATAGCCACTGTTCCATTCAGATACTGCTTGATTTAAATATTCATTCAGAAGGAAAATCAAAAAAAATGCCATAGCAGCTAAGCAGACTACACAATGATTATAATATCAAAAGAATGAAATATTGTAAATCAATAAATGAATTATGTTGGTCATTCCGCTGAATTTTCAATTTATATAAACTTATAAACATCAAAGCAAACAGCATTATGGATGGGAAATATAAACAACTTAGCAAATAATTTTATGAGAATATATTGAAATTTCCACAAATGACGGACGTTTTTCACATCAAAAAAAAAACATTTCTTTTTACAAGATTGAATATTCTGTGAAGTGGTATTATTGCTGTCATAGAAATTCAAAAGTTGCCATAGCGCATAAAGACACTAGGAAGTTTTTAGTCAATTCAGATTCTTTATTAAAATTCAAGGTTGAAACGTAACTACTCGGGAGCACTTTTTGTAGCTTATGATAGTTTAACCAAGTTTAACAAGTGAAGATTCAATTTATAGTTTATAAAATAAATGATTTTTCAACATGTTGTTTAAACAGGAAGTTGTCAATGAGTATATAATCTATGCATGGCTTAGAAGCACACCCAGAATCAACCAAAAATCTCATTAGAGTCGAAGAAAATCATATCTTCAAGTCAGCCATTTCTTTAACATTCCTAAGTGACTAGCACACAATACAATCATGTACATATTCCACAGAAAATGTTATGAAATAAATATATATGTTAAGAAAAACAGAAAAGCTTTCTCCCACAAAAGGCTGTAAATTTTATCTTTTTTCGTATCGAAAGATTTAAGGAATATGACGCTGAATCTATGCGACGATGTTTGTAATGGCATAGCGAGGATAATAAAAGACTTTTTTTTTCGCAAATTCAACAATTTTCTCTTCATGCCTAGCTTTATTCCTGCTACGCTCAAAAATGTGCTTAAAAATACAATTTATCACAAGACGAAAAAAAAAATTTTTATAACACACAAAAACCCAAGATATCTTAAATTACATATAGCGCGCGTTTTCTAGAATTGATTTTCCTTTTTCTTCTTTCATTCCAACATCCTACTAGACTCCATTAACAACAACCATCTCCTTTCAACAACAACATAAGGACTAGACAACAGTTGAGAGAGAATATGAAAAGATATTGCTGCATATCAGCACACAGTGAGCAATTTAGATGAAGAAGGGAAGTGGAAATTTTATTTATAAATAGTATCTCTCTCTGGGTGTTTTGGTTATTCTTTTTCTTTAGTTATTTAGCTTCTTCATTCAACTTAAATTTCATAATAAGGAAATTATGTAAATTCTATGAGAAATTACAGGAAAGAAACCAACGAAGAAGACTACAAGGACTAAGGTATGAAAAATATTATTTTTGCTATGCTATAAAGCTGTTCATTTTCTTTGTGCTCCTTCTATCTGCTTATTTTTCAAGGGAAATAGCATTGAATAAATTTTCGTTTTTTCGCTTTTGATGAAAAAATTTCTAATCTTTATAAAAAAAAAAAGATATTTTTTATTTATCTTCGGCTGAGAAATCAATCATAGGTGTTTGCAGTTATCGACCTCTTTTATAACAAGCTTTTATTTTGTATTCTCTTATCTCTTATTTCCAAGGAGATTTCTTTATCTTTTCTCAACGGTACATGGCGATAAAGTGGGCGATTATGAGGTAGCTTTTGAATAAAACATGATGTTCTGCCAAAGAGGTAAAAGATTAAGGTTTGTGTTGAATAAAGTTATGAAGTTATGAATCAATATTGTGTTATTGTGTCATGAGAACTTTTCCAAGCGTATGACTTATGACTTTGCAGCTTCTTATTTCTTAAATAATAATGAAAAAATTTGAATACTTATTTATTTTTGAAGATCTAATCATTAAATTCTTTGGATGACGACGCTCATGCTACCGATAAAAGTTTTTTCTAGATTTGATTCCAACTTTCTTTCTAAAGCACTAACAGTAATCGTGAATTTTTCATACAAAAAAGCAATATTTGGCAATATTCCGTGGTTTCTTTCGAATTTTCTTAAGGATTCGTTTGAGTAATAAGTAACCGTTTCCCGTATCTGCAGTAAAAATTTGTATGAACTGTAGCAAAAGTTCTAGTTTACATACTATTCAAACCACTCCCAAAAGAACTGTGTCATTGACTTGCAGTTGCAGCTAAATGCAAAAAAATTGTTGCCAATCTAACATCCATATTTTTTTGAAACGTTTGTTACTGATATAGACAAATTGATGCTAAGATTGCATATAATAGAACGATGTGCATGCAGTTGATTGATATCAATGTCATGCTTTGTAAAGCTATCAAGTCACCAATGTGGGTTAAAAAACTTTGAGTGATAAATTTTTAAATGCATGCATGCAAAGTCTTAGTATCAATAATTATTCATGTTCAATTCAACTGACAAGATTACACAAATGATTGAACAGCCCAATGACCTGAAAAAAAACTCATTAATATGTTTCCCGGGACATGTAATGAGCACTCTGTGTTATCGACGGTTCAAGATCAAAAACATCCCTTTTTCGTGTGAATTAATTAATTCTCTTAATTGATTTTTCATCAAGGATGCTCCCGTCATCAAATTTTAATACGTAAAGATCGACTGTTAGGCATATACTCATTCTTGACTGAATTGATGCTCTCCATGTTCACTTGACTGACTTTCTAAAGAAAGTTCTCATTGAAAAATATCGATTGAAATCATGTCTTGATAGTAATCAAGCAAAAAATAAATTACAAGCACAATATCACACAAATAAACATAAAGAAAATAGGCAATGAATTTTTAAATGAACTCAAATGGATGTTTTGCTTAGTTCAATGACGAACTTTTGAACTTTAGATTTTTTTTTTACATTTAAACAAATTATTCTAAGAAGGAGTGAGTTTCATTTTATTTGTCGCTGTCTTATTTACCCTAGCATAAAAATATTTAAGTAACGAAATAAAAAGAAATAGAACAAAAAATTGCTTTGATAAATTCAAATTATGCTAAAAATGTGTATTCATTTCTTATACAAGTGTTCATATGTGTGTAAGCGTACACAAGAATAAAGTCTTTTCCGCTTGTGCCTCTATCATTCTTGGGAAAATCACATTAAAAACAAATTTCTTTTTCTTTCTTTTTTTTCTTCTTCTTGTTTTCAATGCTCAATGTTGTCTATTTGCTTAGAAATATATATGTTGTTGTATCTGCATATATATCTCTCTTTCGTCTCATACGTATATGTTTATGTATGTTAATTTCATATATATGTAGAAAGAAAAATTGTGGAATCTCCTTTTAAACCCGCCTTTTAATAGAAAAACGTGCTCATGTCCTCTTTTTGTCTTGCTCTTTAGTCCGAATATTTATATTTGTATTTATGATTCTTGGAAGGTATTTATTTATCTAAGAAATTAAAATAGACTCGAGTATTGTGAAGATTAAAAGCAGGGTTTTAAAGATTAAAACAAAATAAGTTCTGAGAAATCTATTTTTTTCTTTTGGGAAAATAAAATCTATATCTTGGACAGCAATGTCCAAT